GGCTGAAGAATTACAATGAATAAGCTAAGGTACTGGGCGATCCAAAAGTCACGACCGGATGAAATATATCAACTCATTATATTGCTTTATCAGTACTGCTATTTTAAAATGTAACCTCAAACATCCACAACCTCTTTATCAATTCCATTATGCTTAGCACACAAAGCTATCCCACGCCCGGTGCATCGTGACGCCTTTCGGAGCATTTCCCTCATGATCATGGAAAATGCAAGGCAGTTCTCTAGTTTTAGTTCTTTGCCATAGCGCATTCGGAAACGACTGACATGTTACTTCATGAATGGCAAGAGCCAATTGTCAGATATGCGGGTATCTGAACTCCTACAGAGGTTCAGATATCACTAAATGTTAAATGGCTCATCTGGACCTCTCAACTGGCATAATATAGGCCAGTTGAGAGGTCCAGTTCGTCCAATCCATACCAGAAACTGTTCAGTCAGGAAATCGCTCGTTGAAGTGGCATAATTTGCCCTAGCGTTCTTTTACCGCATGACTGTCCAATCAGCAGCGCATGCGTGGCTATAGGTCGACCTATGTGCGGCAGCTGCGGCGTTTCTTAATTGGCTTCTCGTTTGTTAGACCATGTGTGGCATTGAACTTTCGCACCCTCGGCCGACATGGATGCTTCACGCACATAGTATATGTACGACTGAAGACAGACAGAGTTAGATCAACTCATGTATTATCCAACGCCTCCTACCTATCCACGGGTCAGACTCTTGCTTGCACATTGGGTTACCCTAGTTCCAGCAGTAGTAAAACTAAATAGAAATGTTTCCATTGTAGGTTATGGGTTGCCGCAGAAAAAGAGGACATTTATGGAGTGGCTCAAAAATTTGCCTCGTTGGTGTCATGCTTCCACGTGCAGACAGGCCAGCAAGGTTATTTTTGTCAATAACACGCACCTCGGTCAGGTCCCACTAGGCCCACCAATGAGGGTACTACAGATAAAGCGGACATTTCCGCTTCGGCCCATTCATGCCATCCATGGCCCATGGATGTATGTGTGGGCCCTACAAGAATCGGGTTCGAACACTGTACGACTGACCCACAGAAATAGCTGCGTTTAGACAGTCCCAGTCCGTAATTACAAAAGTCTCTAACCGAACTCAACCACGTACAAAGGCTTTTGCAGGTCGGTAATCCCATTGCATTTCATATGAACTTTTCCCTGTGTCACCGTTCCCTGGACCCACTGACTCACGGCAAGATGCTTCTCAATCGCGAATGCCCCTGTGCCTGTGCCAATAGCCGAAAAAAGCTTGGTCTGACAGATTTCAAACTGCATGTCTAGTGGCACGGTAGGCTGAGCATTATTGAGAGACGTGTCATTTGCAGCTAACAGTCCGAACTGACTTATCAAAGTATAATTTTTCCTTCAGCCATGACTAACTGTATGTAGCTTTCTCACGAGTCTGAACTTTCGACTGCGGCAAGTTGAAGGTCTTTTCCTCCTTCAAGAAGGCATGGTCAAACGAGGTATTGCCCACGCTGCACATTGAGTGCTGTTTACGGGAAGTCTTCATTTTCATTTGCTCCGATCTTTCGTTCTAATGAAATACAAAAATTATAATTGCTATATAATTGCTTTTTCCCGCTTCCACTCAGCAAAAACGAGCTACCGAGCTGCAACAAGATTCATTACATGTGGCTTTTAGGGATTTCATAATGGAGCAAAAGAAGTCTGGACTCGCTTCTCTGTCCATTCTATCCTTTTTGCAATACCTCTCATTATCACCTTCGCAAATTCAGCAGATAAATCTTAATTTTCACCATTGTGCAGCAGCAGCTGCCAGTTCGAAGTTCTTGGGGTTCACTTCTTGTAACCACGTTTCACATCATAATAACATCGCATTTGATATCAAATCTCTGACATTCGTTTCATTGCTTTCCACGGGTTTTCACATCGACGTGGCGTCTCGTGCAATTTGGCAATGCATTTCACACAATCACCGACTTTGTTAGCGCCGTGGGACGATGAAATGTTCTCATCGGTGGCACAACCAGCCAGTATAAATTATGGACTGATTAAGTTCCCGATTAAAAGGAATTATTTGCCGGCAAAGGAATTGCGTGAGGAATATTTGGAATTCATTTGCTAGACGATGAAATGTTCTCATCGGTGGCACAACCAGCCAGTAGAAATTATGGACTGATTCAGTTCCCGATTAAAAGGAATTATTTGCCGGCAAAGGAATTGCGTGAGGAATATTTGGAATTCATTTGCTATATGTATCACCAAAATTATTTAACTGCAATTGCAACGAATCTATAATCTTTTTAATCGTGTATTACCCGATGAGCATTGAAGGAAAAGCCTTAAGGATTGGCGACGCAGTACAATGATGCTAGCCAGTAATATCCAAGTAATGGGTACTTTAATACCACTGTCAATACTTGAAAAATGAGGTTGCAACGGTGAAATGATAAAAAAAAGGGGAATTGCGTTAAAGGAATGGAATCACGCGCTTACTACTCTTTTCGGCTTCTTAAAATGTAGCAGAACTTTTATTTTTAAACATCCCGTGTAATGGCTTTCCACGTCTGGCATTGCCAATAGTTTAAGCACTTCTTGTTTCCTGCTTTTTTATTAGTTGTTGACTGCATACTTCTTGATTTTCCCAGGAAATCCTGAATATTTAGCGGCTCTCTGCCAAAATTCGTTCTTCAGAGCCCTGGTTGAACTGAGAGAAAATGTTTCGACTCCTGGATTTGAGAGCAAACTGGATGAAATTACAGCCGGAGTACGGTTTGCAAATGAGCTCATCGGTCAATTCCATGACGTTTAATCCAGGCAAACTCATTGCTTGAAGCCCAACTCTATGCATCCATGCGGCTGGTTTACATTGGATCCACATGCCACAATGGAATGAAAAGGGAGATTTGAGATGAATCCCATGTGCAAAGAAGATGCAAAAGAGATGGTAAGGAGATGCAAATGGGAATCGTCAACAAGAGGGGAAGGAAAGAACCCTACAGACAAGCAGGCACACAACTATACCCCAGAAACACGGCATATAAAACTAGACGGAGCATGCCTTTCGAAAATACGCTACCGTTACAGCCATTCACAAGGCACGACCGCCATCTCTCATGCCGTCAGTCCTGCAAATACATGCAGTTTTCTGCTAGCAGTGAAGTGTGAGATGACACTGAAACCTGCAAGTGGTACAATCACCTCTGAAGTAAGTTGGGATGTATCTTTTTCTTTCACGTATGCCATCTTTTATTAGGCTCAGGATAGCAACACTATCCGAAATAATATCGTTGAGGCAGTGGCAGCACCCTGGAGACAGGCTGGGCCTAGGCCTACCCCGTCTTCACCGACGAACTTGGGTGTTTTGCAAGTTAATTGCTACCGCCTCTTACATCGTTGAAGAGAAGAAGCCCAGCCTTTCTTTTTTTTTTTGCACTTCACAACGTGAGACCGACACAGGAGTGCAATTGAGCCAAGGGTATGGCAGTCCAAGAGTTGTATGTGAACCGTACTAATGGCAAGCGGAGTTAAATATAATACGGAGAAGTAGATAGTATGTAACTACCATTGCCGTTGCTGGCTGTCGGAAGGTTTAAGGCAGATGAATTGAGTTATGAGTTGCAAATCCCCGCTTTATATACGGTAGGTTTTTTTCCCTCCCCTGCTATTTGGTTTCCTTATCTATTTTGAATGACCTTTTTAGCTTATGGGCATCTCAGCGGGGGGAAGTAGGAGTCTCCTTCATCGGGCTTTTTTAAAACAAGAGGATTAGTGGTGAGGAGGACTTGTAAGGGGGGCGGAAGAAGAGGAAAATTAATATTTTTCCTTGGGTTGCTTCCCTCCCCCCCCACCAAGAAATGTCAAGATGTATATCAACCCTTTGAAGGAAACATTCACATTCCTCTTGCAAATGACTCGCCAAAGTAAGAGGCGTGGGAATGTACAGGCTTCCTGAAATGGTTTCAATGGCCTATTGTCTATAGATGGTTATCATCTTAGCTGTATGTTTGTTGACAGGGTTCTTCTAAAATGCTAGGGGGTCACACTTGGATCCGTTTCTTGACCTCTACGCACGATTCCAACATGATCGTTAGCACTATCGCGCATCTTTAATTACGTAAGGCAAATATTTTGCCAAGCGATAGTATGTCTCGTTAACATTAGTCCAATACATTTTTCCCGGCGACATTTTGTCCAGGCGACATTTTGTCCTGGCGACATTTTGTCCGCGACATTGTGTCCGGCGACATTTTGTCCTAGCACCATCTACAGGGTGTCCCAGAAACCCTGCCCCAAGTTTTGTACATTATAATGTCTTATTTTTTTCTGATGTAAATGAGTTTTGTATCATTCAGAAGCCTAGACCTTTCTTAACAACTGCTGTTGAACTTGATGGTTAGTGATTTGTGGTTGTGGGGATTTTCAAATAAGGTGTATGCTACAAAACCCCAAACATCCCTGACCTCATCAGTGCCATTTCCACCAAACTGAATGCCATAAAATTGGACATGTACCAGAAAGCAGTGAATGACTTTCCTTGGTGATGCCGTATGTGTCATGATCAGAATGGGAACCAATTTCAGTGGCAAAAAGATTGAATCCCTGCATCCCAGAAACCTTGCCCCCAGTTTGGATGGAGACTAAGACTAAGTGAATGGCGCTGGTGAGGTCAAGGATGTTAGGAGTTTTGTAGCATAAACCTTCTCTTTAAAAAAAAAAACCACAACCAGTAATCACAAACCATCAGGTTTAACAGTTGTTAAGAAAGGTCTAGGCTTTTGAATGATACAAAACTCATTTCCATCAGAAAAAAAATAGACATTATAATGTACAAAACTTGGGGCAGGGTTTCTGGGACACCCTATAGATTGGGTTTGACATATAGACAGAAAGAATTGTAGGTGTTCCAGTACTATCAGTGTGAACACCAGAGAGGAGCCAATGAAGTATTGACTTTGTGAATAAGAATTGTGTAGTTCCTTTGCACGATACTGATCTGATGCTGTCATGAACTCAGACTGATGGTTCTAATTTCTCCTGTCAGGTGCTGGGTTGTTGGGTGAAGGTCCAGTAGGGTTCCCTGGAGGACGAAGTGGATTCCGAAGCAGCAGTCGAAGTGGTCCTCCATCTTGGCCCACCTCTCGCAGTCGTGACAGACATGCGCGAAATACTCCACGCTGAGTTCGCATTGGACTGCTACTTGTGCATTCCAATTTTTATAGAACCTTGCATGGATAACCCACCACATTAATGTATGTATGGCTTTTCAGTGACTTTTTTTCAGAAGTGAAGCTATGGATCTCCTTGTGCGAAATTGCAGAATCTTGTTGCATATTGTTTTCATTTGCATATATGTGTGATCATTTTGATGTCATATGTATGAAATGAAGTATCATTTACCAAATAGATTCCTTGTGGAGAAATTCCATTATATGCATTATAGACAGGGGGAGCATTGTTATATCAAAAGGGCAGTTCCAAAGTTACTGACAATACCAGACTCAAGATGAAAACAAGAATATTGGTATACCTTGAATATGGTTTGGTCCAGAAATCCTACTTCAACTGTCTCTTATAAAACTTAGATACTTGCACCTATTCCAGTCAAAAATTTATCATTTCCCCCATGGATGAAGAAAAATAAGGCCATTCATTTCATGTTACTGACACCCATTTTGAGAACAGTTTTCATTCTCCTGGCTCCCATTCAATGTTTGATTTGGCTTGACCTGGAGCTTCCATATTTTTCAAGTGAGAAGGCATAGACTTCATGCCAAATGACATTAGTTGCTGATAATAAAAAAATGAAGTGGCTAGGAGCTTTCCAGCATTCCAAAACAAGCTTCATGAAGGAAGTGTTAGATTTATTTTAAAAAATGGAGTGCTGCAGGAGAAATGAAAAACCATCTCATGTCAGGTGATGCATGTTTAGTGGATCCCTTATTCAGAAAAATCTAGTTGAAGGAAAATTTTGGAAAACATTTTTTGTCCCAATTACTCTGGAACTGCCCATTACTGACTATTTTATGTGCTAGGTATAATATATAAATTAATGGATGCTCGCAATATGCAGTAATTCATGATCTGCCATGATGTTGATAGCTGGATTATTACTTTCACACCCATCAAGTGAACTTGCATTAGATACTGCAAAGGTAATTCATAAAAGGTTATTCTCAAACACAGATCCTGAATCTTTGGCACTCATTTAAGAGTGCCAAAGATGCCAAGTGCATTTATGAGGACTTCTGCAAATCTTTCATTGGGAGATGAAAACGTAGGAACAAAGGAATTCACAGGAGCTACTCTGTCATTCTCAGACATTCTTGCTGGGAATGACAGACCAGGGAAAGGTGATGCATGTTAACCCCTAATCAGTTCTGTACATGCATACATGCACATAGCAGCAGAGGAGGAGGACTTATCTCTACTTTTGAACATGGATCCAACTAGCCTGCCTCGTAATTCTGGAAAAAGGCAGGAATTGTTCATGAGGCAAAAAGGATTAGCATTGGTATGAGAATCCAGTTATGGTCGCTGGCACATAACTGGAATCCCACTTGGATGATTTCCATTTGTCTTCTGGAGCAGCCTTCATGGATGTATGTTACATATCCAAAAGGCAAAGACAACATTCAATGCATCAACTGCATCTGACTATGCCATGTGGTACCAATGAAAATGGAATCTGTGGTTTAAAACTTCAACAGTTTCTTTCACCTTCACAATAAGCCCAGAACAAAATGAGCCAAAGGATCAATTGTGGTCCTTGTTACTTAACAAGAGACATGGAACACATCTCCTTTCCATTTCACTGCAACGCACAAGGTTGTCTGTAATTAGTTTCTAAAGAAGCTCTTTAGTTTCTGGACAATTGACATTAAATCTTCCAGTGACATCCCTAAGTGAGACAAAAAAGATGATGCCAAGAAGCTCGCATGCCTCCTCTTTCAGAATCAATCTCTGGTGCCTGCCGACTCTTTATTTTAAAAAATGGAGATTCGAGGCTGGATACTGCTACTTTAATTGCTGGTTGATGAATGCAGGACTCATCCTAGGCCACTTTAATAATTCAATACTGACCTGTTACTGATACCTTCTTCTCATAACCAAGTGCTTTATAGACCACTTAGCTAGGAGTTAGGTCTCTAAAAATGCATTGGGAAAGATTGAACAAGCACTTAAAAGTATTCTTGGATAGGATCTGAAACTTCTATTGGTTATCAGCCCTGCTAGTCTCAAACTAACAAATTATATGAGGGAAGAGACCCAATCCCCTCTATTCTTCTATGCTTCAACCCACTCCATGCCTGAACTGACAATGTCATCATGTTCAAGGTGATTCCTTATATATTGAAAGCGGCACCTAGATTTGTTTTTCAGTGTAGATATGAAATTGAATTAATCAAAAAAATATTTTGAGCAATTTTTCTTGTCAAATTTTTACTCACAGTCTATTCTCTGACCTAGCAGACCTCTTCTCATCACTCTAGGAAGTGAAGAAACAGGCATGCTAGAACCTTAAAATTGTTTTAAGATTGAGAAAGGGAAGAAGTGTCTCCATGTCTCCTGGCCCCCAGAGCTGAGCTCATCCCAATTCATCAAAACAATCATGGGATCTGAAGACTTTAGTCAGAGAGATCAATATCAAAGGAATCTTTCCTCTCTCTGTCTTTATGATTGGGGATCTTCCGCCGCCTTCTTCCAAGAAACATCTTATCTTCTTCGGCACTATCAACATCAACTTCTTCTTCATCTTCATCGTCGTCGTCATCATCATCATCTTCATCTTCATCTTCTCCATCCTCTGCCATTGGGTGCTCAAAATCAGGATTCTTATGATCACTGTCATCCCATTCATCCCAGTCATCATATGACTCTGGTACACCCAGAAGTTCCCTCTCAAGGTCTGATGTGTCAGAAGCATCTGGAAGAAAATCCAAATTTCATCATCACAATAACTAAAAGTTCCTTCTGCTAGATCTTTGGCCCAAGTTCAGAGATGTAACTTATTTTGATTGAAGTAAAAAAAGACTGAAAGTTTCTTTACCAGGCAAATAAGACTGGAAGATAAAAAATACAAGATATTATGAAATTATTTGTTAACCCATAGGATCATGCAATGTTTCATAGTAGTGGTTGTGTGTAGAATACAAAACACTTTTCACAAGGGCAGTGTGAACTGGACAGGAACATTATCATGATACCTTGATCACATGAACCAGGGAGGGAAAAAGAAAAAAGAACTCAACCTTCACTGTCATGGGCCACAGTGGCACAGAGGAAGAAGTGGGTTTTTGTGTGTAAATGTGTATGAGATTCATGACAGATAGAGAATTTATGGTCACTTCAGTCTCCATATCACTTTCTAGGTTTCCCCCATAATACTGTTTCATATTCAACATTTTTGTCCCTTTGATAATACAGCATGAATGTGGTAACCCTCGATATCAGAATTGATACCCTACAATATCGTTGACATACCATCAAAATACTGCACAGCCCCATTTTTCACCAAGTAGAGCAATTTACTTTGCAAGCATACTTAACCTTGAACACATTGACCACTGAGGATTTAAATGCTCAGCCAACCTCTCTTTGCCAAGCACGATAGTGGAGGTTCCACCATGCTGAACAAGGCATGGCATATGGCATGAATGACAGTGAAGGTGTTAGCATGTTTATTGGCCTGGTCACTGTGCCACATTTTTGAAACTAGATAGACTGTACAAGCTTCGTAATGCCTATTCATTAATATCTAATAACTTATGCTAGATATCATAGTTTTCAATGTTTTGATGATTCATCTCCTCCGAATTCAACTCATTTTCATCCCATAGTATACCCCTCCTTAATCCTTTCACTGGCAAGCAAAAACTTAAATCTCCAACCTCCTTCTGGAGGTGACAGTGGAGGAGGCATTGGCATCTCCAGAGCATCAAGAGACACCAATTGCTAATGAGCAACATTTAACTGCTTAGTTTTGAGCCTGTGCTGAGTTTTGTCTGCAGGCTGTAAGAATTACTATGAAACTCTCAATAGATTGTATAAGCATTCATTTCAAGTCATACCAATTGCAATGTACATGACAGCAGCAGTAGCAAGTGGGAAATTCAAAAAGTGCAAATGCTTCAATGACCATAAGGACATTCCCTTCATTGACACATTAATGTGTCAGTAGCTGCTTAGCAATAAACATCATCCATACCTTCTGACCACCCTAATCATTATTTGCATTCATTTCAAGTTGAACTTGTCCTCCTGCCTCACAGTCATATATTTCTGAGACTTGCATAACACATGGTTGTTGTGCCTCATAAATCCACCACTTCAAAAGGGCACTTAGAAAGGCACCAAATCTTACTAAAATCATAATATCTTGAACTCTACTTCCTACTCTCAGAACTACAGAAGTAAATCTGAAATGTCATGGCAGTTATCTTTGGATAAAAATATCTCTACACTCCTCTGAATACATCAGAACATAAAGTGAACTATACAGAGGAGGAAAATCATACCATCTTTCTGGTATTTGATGGGCAACTGATGTGAGATGTCCTGGAGCTCCTTATCCTTGGCAATCTCCAGATGGTTCAACAATGAATGCACTCTTCCTGTCAAGTGACTGACCTGTTTCATGGTCTCAAACCTCATCTGCAAGAAAGGAAACAATCTGTTATCAAAGAGAGGCTAAAAACAAGGTCCAGAATAAGCAACGTTGCCGACATCTCACTCAAAGCTATTAGAGAAGTGGCAAAAACCTTCATCATGCTTGAACACTGGCTCACCTCTATCATCCGATTAATGGGTTCCAAGAGATGCTCCATTGATGGATTGGACAGTAGATAGGGCATATGAGCCTCTAAGACAGTCTGCAACCACTTCACATGGGTTACATCCCTGTCAAGAAAATGATAAAATCCTCTTGTGAAAAGACCAGACTGACATTTTAAAGGTAATGGTGTGCCAACTGATAGAAAAGTGAGCCCACTGCCTCCACCCCTCTCACTTTTTTTCATCCCTTTGCTCCACCCTTATGTGCTCAGCAATGCTTCCCCCTTTCTTAGAGAATAAGGAACTTAGAACTCCCTTAGACCTGCCAAAATAAGTCCCTAATTACACCACTGTGCATCCAAGATGAATGTAAGGATGAGTGGTCATTGGGTTGAGGCTGCCCACTTAGCAAAAACTCTAGACACCACTGCTGGGAATGAGCAGAGGAAGAAGAGACCAGGGGCCATATTCTATTCATTTCTCAACTTGAAATAAGGAAATGAGAATTTGTCTTAGCTAAGTATGTTGCTCAAGTTGGAATTCTATTTCCATCTTAGCAACTTGCTGAACTGTGTTCCTTAGACAAAGCAAGGTGCTTAAGATGGTCACGTGACCATTACATCTTACTTTACGTCATTCCTTTCAATACTGGCCAGTGATGCTTCTGGGAACAAAATTCTACCTGTAGGGCAATGGAAAATTCCCAGTGGCACAACATTCCCACTCAAATCACTCTTTAGTTGGACTGTTTCCAAGGATGAAATTATACTGAGGAGAACCCCTTCCGCACCCCAACAATTTAGCTGGAATTGACAAGCAATGGTTTACCGCTGTGAAAAACACCTAAGAGGTCTTATTCTGTTGGCCACATTTGATTGTTGTAGATTGTCACAACTTCTTCAATGAAAAAAAAAAAACAGTTTTGAGGAATGGAATGAACCCCCTCAGTTTCATCATGCAAATTTGTGTAATCGATTCCCATTCTCTCTTTGAAGCAGGGGCAATGAGCATCCCTAGGGCCTACTTATTTTTGTCCATCCTACTCACAATAATCCGATAGTGCTCAATAGCTAATTGCTGAATTGTATGTTGAAATCTTTTCAACTGAGTTGAGGAAGCATGTCAACATGATGTATGCACTGTTTAGGCTAGAATATGCTTTGTCAAGAGCTGAATTTTTTTTTAAAACAGACTAATTGGGTGTTAAACTTGAAATTTAATATACAAAAGAAGTTTAATTCTTAAAGTCAGAAACCTTGTGGAATCGCTATTCAAAGTGAATTTTTTTCCTGAGAAACTCTGGGATATAAATTCCCAGGTGTTCAAATTGGCCACATTGTGCTTTCTGAACTTAAGGCAAATACAGAGGTGCCTTAATTTAAGACTCTGATGGCAGTTTTGAGCAGGAGGCGAAGCATAAGATATTAATAGAAACAGTGAGGAACTTAAGCATCATTCTTAGATGTCTTCTTAAGAAGTTTGTTCAGATTAAGGCAATAAATATTGCTTAAGCAAGTAATAGAATACAGCCCAAGGATTTTCCGTTCCCCCTTCCTGCCAACATCCCACCTCATTAGCTGTAGTGAGATGCATGCTGAGGCTTGATCCTGTAGCCTTTTAAGAGCCAACTCAAAAACACTACAGTAGGTGTTGTGCAAGGAAAGAGCCAGGGAAAAACCTATGTCCATACTAAGTCTATGGCATAATAATTTGCTTCACAAGACTGTAATTCACAACTATACCAATTATTGCATTTCAAGTTTCTTCATTGCAAATTTAACTAGAAGGATTGGCCCAATTTTAACAAGTAAAATCTGCAGTAAATATTTGTTTCTAGGAAAATGAGTAAATAAATAATTTAAGGCAAATGCCAATTTCATGTTTTTTTTTTAAGTTTCCTTCAATACATAAAGTGATTATTGAAAATAAACAACAAATAAAACACAGTAAAGTCTCTCGGTAATTTCTCCATCAAAGCTCATCTACATACAAGAAGACATGAGGGAGGGAACTATCAAACATCAGCAAAACTTGTTTTTGAAGCTCTCTAGCATCCCCTTGGGGAGAAGCTGCTTGGCATGCCTTGCATTAAAATTGTATTCAAATAAAGGACTTTACTTTCATCAATGAACAAGCATTTAAAACAAAATCATGCTGCTCAAGCACTTTGAGGAAGGGGTGGTAGAGCTGGATGTCTGTGAACTATAATCTTAATTCTTTCAGCAGTGTCCCAAGTACATACTTATAATGTGGCTGCCTGCTTGCCTACATTATCCCAACAGGGAGAGGCATGACAAGCAGGGATTGTGCCAACTTTCTTGCCTCAAGGGTCCTCAGGACAAAAGGATCCCTCTAGAAAATTTGAGGGTCCCTTTGCAATTGAAGCATGATGAAATCTTGCAAAATTGCACAAAAAGTTCAAGTCCCACAATCAATGTTTTTCTTTGATTTAACATATCCAAACAGCATGATATTCAATCCAGCAGCCTTAGGACTACTTCCAACATTTTCCCTTTGAGAAATATCCCTAGGGCATCTTCAAATTTGCAAATAACAAACTTCTGCAATTCACAACTGCCAGATGCTGAGTATGGATTTTTATTTTCATTTGAGCAGAAATCACAGGAAGCTCCTCCATCTCTATAGAAAAGCCAGGGATACGTGCTGACCCACTCATTTTTCCATTTTTTTAATCTTTTCTCCTTTGTTGTGATTTATAAGTTCACAAGCTGCCCATTTTCATCATCGCCCACGTCCATCTCTTTCCCTTCAGTTTGACTAGGTGAAGGCCTATGGTAATTTTCCATTCTCTGTGCACATTAACCCATTGAGCCCTCACCACTGCTTTACCAGTGGTAGAGAGAAATGACGTATTGCCTAGCCACCGGTAAAGAGGTGTGTAACACTTGCGTTGCGTTTTGCGATTGGTTTAAACCTATTTTTACCGGCCAATCAGAGAAACCTTACCATTCTGACATCAGTAAATTTAGTGCAATATGGCTACTCCCTTTCACTGTGTTTTGGATAAAATTGGATCAATTTTTTAGCATGAAGGGTACAGAGCCTCAACCTGGCCCGTCAGGGGTGACATCGGGGACGAAACGTGCACGAAAACAACTGTATACAACGCAGCAAGTAATCGATATGCTGGATGAAAAAACGACAGACAAATGCTCCACCACTGGCAAAGCAGCGTCGAGAAGATTGATCGAAAGACTGTGCAGAAGATGATGGCGTCGATCAAAGGAAAAGTCCGCAGATTCATCAGAACAGGAGAGATGAAGAACTAAGATGTTATGTACTTGAATTCTGAGACTCTGTAGTTTCCGAAAATATAAGTTTCAATTTCCAAAATTGTTGTCTTAAATTTGTTCAAAATTGTTGTCTTTGTTCCAAAATTGTCGACTTTTGAAATCGGTGCAATTTAATCTGTGTCATGCTTTACGCTTAGGCTAGTACCAATCTCATACATATCCCTCCTTTTTTGTACAGGGTGATTCTTTCGTGTTAGTACCCTAAAAAACGTGAATAACTCAGGCAGGGTACTAAAACGAAAGAATCACCCTGTATAAACGAAAACAGTTGTTTCATTCCATATTACGTATAGACAGAGGAGAGATTATGACAGGAGGCTCTACTTCGCTCGACTCCCATTCACTGACAGGGTTGCAATATGGATGTCGCTGTCGATCCTCTATCTAGCGTGCGCAAATCAACAACTCCTCTATGGCCGAACAGCCGACAATCGAGCTTACCTGCGGTACGACTTGAAACAAGTTTCAGGGTCAGATGTCAGATTAAGTCGGGTTACTATTTACAGCGCCAGTATCCATGCATGGCATTTATATTGGATTGTTCGTGCCGTTTTTGGGAATGCAAAATTTATTTATTTTATGCAACAATATTTCATTACAATTAATCAAATATACATTCCCCTTCATTATTCGCTACTTTCTCCCAGCGTTCCGACAGTTTCTCGATTCCACGTCGGTAAAAAGATTGATCTTTTGAAGCGATCCAATTTTCCAGCCAGTTCTGCAAGTCTTCATCATCATCGAATGTAACACCACGAAGATCATTCGAAAGTGAGCGGAAAAGTTGAAAGTCAGACGGTGCGATGTCTGTGGAGAACGTTTTTGTGAGATTTGCGACGTGGGGGCGGGCGTTGTCGTGCTGCAGGATCACCTCATACCGGCAATTTGGACGTTTTTGACGGACTGCTACCGCAAGGCAACGAAGTTGTTGGCAGTAGATCTCGGCTGTTATTGTGTGGTTCCTTTCAAGCAGCTCCCAGTGGATTATTCCCTCCAATCCCCACCAAACACAGCATTGTCTTGCGAGGATGGAAATCTTGTTTGGGTGGACAAAGGCCAGCAACCATTCTTTTCGCTGCTTCATGTTGACATAAAGACACCACTTTTCATCGCCTGACACAATCAAAGAGAGAAATGGTCGATGTTGGGCGGCTGCGAGGCGATGTCGACCCGGCTAAGTTCATGAGGGACCCATGCACCGAACTTCTGGACTTTTCCCCATTGCATTAAGGCGCTTGAGCACTGTCTGTCTGTGGCGCACAGTCGAGTTGCTCAGCCAATTCTCGTGTTTGGAGGTTGTCCTCTTGAAGAGCGCCGGGAAACTCTTCTCCATCAAAATCCATTGGACGTCCTGATCGAGGGGCGTCAGTCGGGCTGAAATCGCCTTATTTGAAGCGGGCAAACCATTTTCGAGCTGTCCTTTCAGCAACCTTGTCCGTAGATGGCACTGATGTTTCCAGCTGCTTGCGTAGCATTACGGCCACGATTAAACTCGTAGACAAGGAGATGTCGGATATGTTTATTTTTGTCGACCTGAAGCTCCAACCTTAAAAAAAAAACTTAATAAACGAAAAACTAAATAGTGATTCTGGAAGAGGAAAACATGAACTACAAAATGGTGTAACACTCAGTGATAAGCAATACCCGTTGTGACAAATGATGCCTTAATTTTAAAAAAGGCACGAACTTACTGGACAACCCAATATATACGACACTGGGAAAGGGGGAATTAGTATTAGGGAGCTACTCAGGTCGCCTAAGTTGACAGATTGACATGGACGCCCTTTCCCCTCGTTCCACCCTCATTGACACTAATCCATAACCATGGCGCCACTCGAGGCTGGTTGCCTTGCCCTACACCCAAATTCCTCTCTCCGTCCGTGGGGGCGTAGGGACGGCTTAATCCCGTTTCACCCAGGCGAAGGCTAATCCGGCTCCGGCTGAACAGCGATGAAAATATTTTGTTACTAAAAGATTTGCAAAACGACTTACTGCAGCCCTTCACCTCGTGAACATTTAGGTGGGCTAATTCTAATTCCATTATTATAGGGTGGATGAAAATAATTCGTGCTTCAGCTACGAATTATAAGTCGGCGAGTCGTCATTCGACGAAATGATAGGGAACCGATAGTAAGTCGCTGGAGCTTTGTTATCGACAATCAGTTCAAATAGTACCCATTTGCTCAGCTTCCAGACTTTTCCTAGGCGATTCAAATGCAAACGAATGGTTTCGTCACTCACATTGAACCTTTCTGCAATCTCTTGGCACGTTTGACTCGAATCCAACTCGATGACGGTCGGTCTTCTATCGCGGGGCGCATCAAGTGTCTCGTCACTTGAAGCAAATTTTCTAAACCACTTTTGAGCTGTGAGTTCGCTCACTGTGTTCTCTCCAAATGTCGTACATATCTTGCGTGCTGCTTGCGTCGCGTTGGCTACGTGCTTTCGACTGTGTATCGATGCATGCGCTAATCTGCAATCGTGCTCGCGTAATTTTCGTTAACATTGCAAAAACCGCGCGGACTTTTTGGTTACCTGATACTTTTGGTTGTAATTTTCGTATACCGGCAGATGTAGCACGCTGTGCCTCAAAACCTGGGAAACCTAGCTATGACTATTCTTAGATGATGAGTAGTGACAAGAAAGTATATGTACTTGGTAGAAGGCCGCAATTGCGACCACAGGTGGGAGGGTTCCATAGTGGGACCCTCCAGCGTAAGGGCTGGCATAGTGCAAGATCCTGACGAAGCTGCCGTTGAACAGCGGGAAGATGTCCCGGTCGAAGACTGAGTTGCCTCCACAATGTGTTTCATGCCTATTTATTACTTAACCCTTTGAGCCCTCTGTTCCTGAGCAATTTTGAGCCTTCTGCCTGAGCTCCTGGGCCAAAATTTGCTAATAATGGGTATACAATGTTTGTGCAAATATTATAGTTGTAATAAAAGAGATGAGATTGATGCTTTGCATGCAAATAGCAGGATGACGTACCTTCATTTTAACGCCAGAATTCTTTCTTTGTGTGCCAATCAGCCCAGCAGGTGCTGCCTCTCTTGATGCACAAGTATCGTTGACACTCCGTACAGCGCACAGAAGACTTGACGGCTTTGACAGGGTAATCCTTGTATGGCACATTTGAGTTGTCCTTCTTGAACTTGTTGTACTTGTAGGAGCACACAACACACAGATGGTTTGTGCTGTCATTTTCTGTGATTTCTGGTAGGTGTAGGCCAACATTTTGCAGGCGTTCCGGAGCGTCCCGTAAAACTCTAACAGAAGCGTGACGTCGACATGCTTTACGTGGATGTTCTAGGTCTGTTATAACTAGGTACTTAAAGGACTTCGACTTCCGGAACCGAACAACCCCCAATCAACAGACTTTGTTCACATATCCATTGTAGATGGCCCACATGACAAATTTGATGAACAGCCGTCTTGGCCAGCGATGGTGACGGCGAGTCTTGTGAAGGCGTGTCAGTTGATCGTTTTTGTCGGTCCCCCCCATGTAGTGGTTGTAATCACTCACAAGCTGGGGCATTCTGATCTGGATCAGTGAAGCCGTCTTGGCCAGCGATGATGACGGCGAGTCTTGTGAAGGCGTGTCAGTTGATCGTTTTTGTCGGTCCCCCCCATGTAGTGGTTGTAATCACTCACAAGCTGGGGCATTCTGATCTGGATCAGTGTGCCATCTTTGTTCCTTCGCTCAGCACTTCCAACTTTCTGAGGGTCGTGACATGTTGACAGGAAATTGATGGGCTTTCTGTCATTCCACACCATTGCCACAACGCCATCTTTGCACCGAAAATCACTGTCACCTCGATTCTTCATCTTCTTCACTTTCAGCCTTTGAGGATATTTCTTCCTGTTGGTCATGGCTGTTCCCATGGCAAGAGTGTTCTGCATTGTCAGCAAGTACTGGAACAGATCTACACTATTGTAGTATCTGTCCATGACCAGGATGTGATGCTTCCCCTGTGCGTTGGCTGAAGTCAGCAGACGATGCACAACATTTCCAACCACTCCAATCCCATCTACTTCCTGTGCTGTTTTGCCGGTGTAGATTTCAGCACCCACTATGTAGCCAGTTTCACCTTCACAGAGAATGAAGGATTTCACACCAAATTTGGATGGTTTGTCTTTGATGTACTGTTTGATTGCCAGTCTGTTTTTGAGCGGAATCATTCCTTCATCCAAGCTCAAATGTTGTCTGGGTACATAATGGCGTCGAAATTTATCTAGGAGAGAATTCAGCATTGGCCTGACTTTGTAAATGGCGTCAGTTTTGTCGGTTGTGGCGTCAGTTTCATCAATCACATGGAGAAAAGCCCAGATGGAGAGAAATCGATCCCTTGACATCACTTTTCGAAAGCCAGGTGTTTCTGACAGAAAGTTTTGTCCACTAGATTCCCAGTATTCTCTGAATTGCGGCTTTATTACTGTTGCTTCCATTTGTATTCTCAGCCCAAGGAAAGCCTTAGCCTCTGCTTCTGTCAACTTGTCATTGAATATTTTGCCATAATAGTAGTCTGGCTTTGCTTCCTCGATCTGCTCGGCGCGCTGGTTTGTTTTGTTGACAAAATTTTCCCAGAAGTGATCATCCAGAAATAGGCTAACAAAATCGATTGCACGAGAGCCTTCATTGATATTTTCAAGAATATTTTTTGGTCCGCACTCGGAATCATCAAACTCGCCTAATATAGTTTGTTCCAGCCATCTCGATCATCGCCAACATCACCTGAGTCTGTGGGGACACGCCTCCTTTGATCAGCTGATTGTGCAGGCCGTGGTTCATTTTCAACATCACTGTCTGTGACCGACAGTGAATTTGAATCATCCGATTCAAATTCTACCTCACTATCAGAGTATTCATTATCGTACTCTACTTCCGATAAATCATCCAGCATATCGATTACTTGCTGCGTTGTATACAGTTGTTTTCGTGCACGTTTCGTCCCCGATGTCACCCCTGACGGGCCAGGTTGAGGCTCTGTACCCTTCATACTAAAAAATTAATCCAATTTTATCCAAAACACAGTGGGAGTAGGGATATTGGGAAAGGGAGTAGCCATATGGCACTAAATTTACTGATGTCAGAATGGAAAGGTTTCTCTGATTGGCCGGTAAAAATAGGCTTAAACCAATCGCAAAACGCAACACAAGTGTTACACACCGCTTTAACGGTGGCTAGGCAATACGTCATTTCTCTCCACTTTTCGGAATGGCGGTGGATTATTCGTTTTTGTACTCTACCTTTGCTGATTCAGCATCGCAGACGGTGGATTTCAGTAGATATGACTTTTAGTAGTTGGTTCGGTATACGGTGGAACATGCCCCCAAACTGCACCACTTTTTGGAATTTTTATCGTTTATTTAAATTTCTTTCTCTACCTTTGTCGAATCAGCATCGTAGACTCATAAAGGTGGATTTAAGAAGATATGTCTTTTAGAATTTTGTTCGGTATGCGGTGGAACATGGCCAACTTGCTCCACTTTTCGGAATGGCTGTAGATTATTCGTTTTTTTGCTCTACCTTTGCCGATTTAGCATCGCAGGCAAATGAAGGTGGATTTGAGACGATTGCTCATTCAGTAGTTGGTTCGGTATGCGGAGGAACATGCCCCAAAATGCACCACTTTTTGGAATTTTTTATCGTTTATTTAAATTTCTTGCTCTTCCTTTGTCGATTCAGCATGGCAGGCATATGAAGGTGGATTTAAGAAGATATGTCTTTTAGAATTTTGTTCGGTATGCGGTGGAACATGGCCAACTTGCTCCACTTCTCCTAAAGGCTGTGTATTATTCGTTTTTTTTTGCTATACTTTTGCCGATTACGCATCGCAGACTAACAAAGGTGGATTTAAGAAGATATGTCTTTTAGAAGTTGGTTCGTTATGAGGTGGAAGATGGCCAACTTGCACCACTTTTTGGAATTTTTATCGTTTATTTAAATTTCTTTCTCTACCGTTTTCGATTCAGCATCGCAGGCATATGAAGGTGGATTTGAGACGATTGCACATTTAGTAGTTGGTTCGGTATGCGGTGGAACATGCCCCAAACTGCACCACTTTTCGGAATTGGTATCGTTTATTTAAATTTCTTGCTCTACTTTTGCCGATTCAGCATCGCAGACTCATGAAGGTGGATTTAAGAAGATATAGCTTTTAGAAGTTGGTTCGGCATGAGGTGGAACATGCCCAACCTGCTCCACTTCTGCGAAAGGCTGTGTATTATTCGTTTTTTAAACTCTAATTTTCCTATTTAGCATCGCAGACTGATGGAACATGCCCCAACCTGCACCACTTTTCGGAATTTGTACCGTTTATTTAAATTTCTTTCTCTACCTTTGTCGATTTAGCATCGCAGGCATATGAAGGTGGATTTGAGACGATTGCTCATTTAGTCGTTGGTTCGGTATACGGTGGAACATGCCCAAAATTCACCACTTTTGTTTTTTTTTGCTCTACCTTTGCCGATTCAGCAGAATGAAAGTCCAGATGAGATATCTTCTCTATTAGAAGTTGGTTCGGCATGAGGTGGAACATGCTCCACTGCTCCGAAAGTCTGTGTATTATTCGTTTTTTAAACTCTAATTTTGCCGATTCAGCATCGCAGACATATGAAGGTGGATTTGAGAAGATGGCTCTTTTAGAAATTGGATCGGTATGAGGTGGAACATGCCCCACCAGCCGTACGTTTCGAATTTTTGTGGATTAATGCAATTTATTGCTTTCCCTTTTCCAATTCAGCATCGCAGGCATGTGAAGGTGGATTTGAGAAGATAGCTCATTTAGAAGTTGGTTCGGTATGAGGTGGAACATGGCCCACCTACACCACTTTTCGGAATGGATGTGGGCTATTCGTTTTTTTGCTCTAACTTCGCCGATTCAGCATCGCAGGCATAGGAACGTGGATTTCTGACGATTGCTCATTTAGTAGTTGGTTCGGTATGCGGGGGAACATGCCCCAAACTGCACCACTTTTGTTTTTTTTTTGCTCTACCTTTGCCGATTCAGCATTGCAGGCATAGGAACGTGGATTTCAGACGATTGCTCATTTAGTAGTTCGTTCGGTATGCGGTGGAACATGCCCCACCTGCACCCTTTATTGGGATTTTTGTAGATACATGAGATTTCTTGCTCTTCTTTTGCTTTTTCACTATTGAAAGTGAATGAAAGTCGATATGAGATACCTTCTCTATTAGAAGTTGGTTCGGCATGAGGTGGAACATGCTCCACTTCTCCGAAAGTCTGTGTATTATTCGTTTTTTAAACTCTAATTTTGCCGATTCAGCATCGCAGACTGATGAAGTTGGATTTCCAGAGATTTCTCATTTAGAAGTTGGTTCGGTATACGGTGGAACATGCCCCAAACTGCACAACTTTTCAGAATTTTTACCGTTTATTTAAATTTTTTGCTCTTCCTTTGTCGATTCAGCATGCCAGGCATATGAAGGTGGATTTAAGAAAATACCTTCGCCGATTCAGCATCGCAGACGGTGGATTTAAGAAGATATGACTTTTAGTAGTTGGTTCGGTATGCTGTGGAACATGGCCCACCTGCACCCTTTATTGGAATATTTTTGGAGTCGTGAGATTTCTTGCCCTACTTTTGCTTTTTCACAAATGGAAGTGAATGAAAGTCGATATGAGGAACCTACTCTATTAAAAATTAGTTCGTTATGAGGTGGAACATGCCCCGCCTGCCCTACGTTTCGAATTTTTGTGGATTAATACAATTTATTGCTTTCCCTTTTCCAATTCAGCATCGCAGACATATGAAGGTGGATTTGAGACGATTGCTCATTTATTAGTTAGTTCGGTATGCGGTGGAACATGCCCCAAACTGCACCACTTTTTGGAATTTGTATCGTTTGTTTAAATTTCTTTCTCTACCTTTGTCGATTCAGCATCGCAGGCATATGAAGGTGGATTTGAGACGATTGCTCATTTAGAAGATGGTTTGGTATGAGGTGGAACATGGCCCACCTGCACCCTTTATTGGGATTTTTGTGGATACATGAGATTTCTTGCTCTTCTTTTGCTTTTTCACTATTGAAAGTGAATGAAAGTCGATATGAGGGACCTACTCTATTAGAAGTTGGTTCGGCATGAGGTGGAACATGCTCCACTTCTCCTAAAGTCTGTGAATTATTCGTTTTTTAAACTCTAATTTTACTATTTAGCATCGCAGACTGATGGAACATGCCCCAAACTGCACCACTTTTCGGAATTTTTATCGTTTATTTAAATTTCTTGCTCTGCTTTTGCCGATTCAGCATCGCAGACTCATGAAGGTGGATTTAAGAAGATATGTCTTTTAGAAATTGGATCGGTATGAGGTGGAACATGCCCCACCAGCCGTACGTTTCGAATTTTTGTGGATTAATGCAATTTATTGCTTTCCCTTTTCCAATTCAGCATCGCAGGCATGTGAAGGTGGATTTCAGACGATTGCTCATTACTCATCTCTTTTATTACAACTATAATATTTGCACAAACATTGTATACCCATTATTAGCAAATTTTGGCCCAGGAGCTCAGGCAGAAGGCTCAAAATTGCTCAGGAACTGAGGGCTCAAAGGGTTAAGTGAAACAAAGACATCACCTTTGTTTAGAATTAGTCTTACACTGTTTCTTTATGTGGCACTAGGCCTATATTCAGGAACACCTGAACACAAGCCAATGTGATTCGAATAAGCTAACATCATACATTTTCTGATTGAAACTGAGCGAGATGTGTGTTGGCCCCGACCGCCCTAAAGCCATAATTGAAATGAATGGAAATGCGTCATGAGCGCATGAACACAATGCAACCAGCACTATGCTCATCACTTTCATGTCACGCACCTTCCTTAGCAAGGACTTTAATTCGACCCCCCCCTTCCTGCCACTAAGTTTATGCACTGGTTTATTTAGGTACAGTTCTAAGAGGTAACTGCCAACTGATCTGAAAACCAGTCAGAAAATCTGACTAACTCCCTGCATGCCCATGGGGTCCCAATGTTTTTCTGTTGTGTGTCCCTTTGGAATTTTGTGATTATAGGATGCACATTTGCATGTTATTGCAAGCCCTGACAAGTATGTACAGACATACCTTGAGACACCACCTAGAGGGTTAAATGCATTTATTAGACAATCCATATTGGTTGAAAGATAATTAACATTAAGTTCTCAACAAAGCAGCAATGCACATTTGATGCCTTTACCTCCAGTAGAATGTCCAAAACCCAACAGACTCACCTCTTTTGAGCAATGAGCTTTTGAAGTGTGTTAATGAGAGGAGAGATTGCTGGTACAGGTAATCGACAGATTGTTCCCTTCCTCACAGATTCTTCTGTCCGGTCTAACACACTTCTCAGCACCGCTTTGTCATTGCTCTGCAGTCCCTAAATGAACATTTCCAGAAGCAGATTAGCCTACATCCCCATTTCCCTTTCCATTTTTAATGAAACTTTTTTTTAAAAAAGAGAAGAAAAAAAGGGAGGGGGGGGGCCACTTACACTCCTGTCCCATCCTGGTCCTATCTGTCTACCTCTACATGTACAAATTCATTCCCACTTTTGTATTCATTTGAAAAATAAAAAAATATATCCTAGCAAACATTAAAAGTGGGTGGGGAGAGTGACAAACTATATTTCAGGTGAAGTTCTTGCCAAAACCAGACTTTGCATTGTGGACACGTTTGCATGATGTGTTGGGGTAAAGAGGGGATAGACATCGGAATGCATAAGCTCTCACTTCATGCTCTAACCCTGATGCACTACCCTCAAACTCTCCCTTCACTAATCCAACACCATTGCTTCTTTTTTTTTCTTATATGAAGACATTGCTGAACATTGACATGGTGAACCAGGTTGATAAAACTACAGTATTGGGGAATCAGAATGGGATTACACTTTCTTTACAGTAGCAATGAAACCCCCCCCCATGTGGATGGAAACTCATTACTAGGATTCTCTCTGCATCATGTAGAATTGAGAAATTTGTCATTTCCTGCTATTACTAAACAAGTTATTGGCATATAATAAAGGTTTGAGGTGTACCTGGAGAAGAAGATGAGCAAGACCGTCCATTGGAGGAGCTGTGGCTTGAGCTGAATCTCTTTTCATGGTTTCTAGTCTTTCACCTATAGTTTCATCCCCTGTTCCTTTCCTTTCCTTCTCCTTTGCCTTCTTCCCATCCATGTAAGATGTCTCTCTTTGTGATGATTTGCCCCCACCAAAGGCTTCCTTGGCCTCCATGAGAAGTGGCAATGATGGTTCCTTTCCAACAGGGACAATACCTATTGTCCCTGGGCCAAGAAACCTGGCCCTTTTTGCCTTCATTCCGCTCATCACCTGGAGTCCAGAATGGTTTTTCATCACACAACAACTATAAATTTGCTTGAAATACGGAAATTCAGACTTGAGACTAGTCATTCAAATCTACTTTGTATATGCACTGACAAGAATGGAAACTATTACCAAGACAAAGATTTGCTAGTGTGGGATATTATCAATCTCTTGGTACAAGTGCCTTACGGCTCCTAAGCAATATACTTTATAACAAGAGTCTCTGATTTCCATTCCCACCTTTTCCAAACACTTCTTTCTGTCTGCTATTGGGAACATGTCAGAAGCTCATACAAATTTATTGCAATGTTTCCTTTATCTCATAAGTCACACCAATGAGATAAAAGGTGAGAAATGAAACAATATCATGCATATGCAACAGGTTCATAAACAATCATAGGAGGGAAACCAGTCTCACCAAGGTATTTGATGCTTCCTCCAGAGATGGTTTCATGGTCCTGGCTGCATCTTTCCTTTTAATGATCACTTCACCACCCAAGGAAGAATATTCCTGAAATAGGTATAATTGCACAATTAGGCATTCATAGGTAGTTGTATAAGATTCAACACATCATAAGAGAAGAAAATTGTATCTAAAGCCCAGAATGCCCAATCTCAATGGGGATCTGTTCACATAACAAAACTGCCATTATCTAATAGGAATAATCACAAGCCATCAGACTGACCCAATTCATCTATGGGCAATACCATGTTATGTCTTGTATGTAGTAGCAACTAGTAGGATGGAAACTGTTGATTCATCAAGGTACATGCATTGTAATATTTTAGCATTAGAAGGAATTGGAAGACTAAATATTCCAATTTAATTCCAACTAAAAGAGAGCACCAATCAATACCAATTACAGGAAACTGGGACCATTGGAAGCAAGCTCACCAGATTCTCAAAGGATGGCTTCAATGCAGAGCCATAGGCTAGCAGAAGTTTCCTTGATGAACCCTGGTGCAGGACTTTTCCCCCAAATATTCTTTGCTTTTGAGGATCCTCTGAGAAAGAATTCTCTTGCTTTGACCGTATTTGAATCCTTGAACAGGGTTTCACCGGCTCCTGATGATGACTGTAAATGTAAGATTATAAGAGTCAAATGCCAGCAGCAGTTACAAGTGAGCTTCATTACAAATAAATACATGAAAGAAATCAGAGAAAATACTAGTCACAGAAACAAGCAATTTGACTACTGACCCATTCAGCTGGAACTCGAATATCTCAATTTCCTGAGCTGCTGTGGTTGCAACTAGTGTTGTGGAATGATGAGTGTCAGCTGCAACCATATCCAAATGCCTAGGTTCATCTGACAACATCAATGTCGCAACTGCAGTAGCTTTGGACTTTGCTTCATCTATTTGCCTATTAACAGAATCAAGAGCAGAATTTTAAAAAAGGATCCTTCACAAATGACCATGAGATTTTAAAAAACAAACACTAAAGAAACTAGTGCTAGTCACATACCATGCACTGATGACACGATCCCTATCGGAAACACTGATGAAATATCCAGCCGACTTCATTCCAGGAACAAACTGTAAATGCCTGACTGGTGTTGCATGGCCTGTGAAAGTTTGGGTGACTGTCAGAGTCTCTAAGTTCCAACACTTGATCCTTCGACTTGCTGATAACAATCGTATCTTATCCTCTGCAGCACTGACAGAATACACAGGCTCATTCCCCCCCTTCCATTTCCTGTTAGGATAAAATGACACCACACATGAGAAGTAACCTTCTTCCAATCCTGTAGTACCTGAAAGTTTGCAGGCAAAAACATTCCCAAGTCCCAAAAAATTTTTTTAATTAAAGTTAAATCTGCTTTATCACAAATGTTTTGCATTCTTTCAGATTTTAGAACTCATTTCCAGTAAGAAATATCAGAGTTCCATCAAATACAGGGTTAAAGAACTAGTGTTCATGATAAGAACAAAGTCTAAACCTTACCTGAATCTTAGACCTCAATTTAATCTAAACCAATCATTTGAGACTTTGATTACTTTAGCCAACAACCCTCTATCTGCTTTTCTTGAGCTTTACACAAAACCTGGGACCTTTCCAAAGGTATTGCTCACATGCAAACCTTTTATTCTGCCAAGTGTTCACATATTCACACATTCTTTGTAGCACAAGTCAAACAACATGTCCATTGATAGTGGTTCAGCTTACCTCCTGACAGAGCCTTTATAGGTATCCCATTCTATTAAATAGTGATCAGCAGAACATGTGAAGAGTGTTTCATCACAACTCCGAAATGACATGCCTTGAACAGCTTTTGAATGTCCCTCATTCAGTTCTTGGATTGGTTCACCCTTGATTATGCTGTAGAGCAGGACAGATCCAGAGGCAGTGCCCAAAGCCAAAGCCTGCTCAGTGGCATGTTCTTGGGAGGCACTTTCACTGACATTCCTCTTGGACCTTCGTTTCTTCTTCTGTCGTTCATTCTGAAAATGACACGACTTCTTATAAGTTGGGGCAAGAGTCAACTTTTTAGGCAGTATAACTAAATAGGCCATATTGGCTGATATGGTGAATGGTAGCATGCAAAATGAAATAATAACATGGGATTACCTCAAGCAGGTTCATGGTTCTGCCTCATGTTCTAACTTTATAGAAATACTTTTCTGTGTAATGACACTCACTCTTGAAGCTGCAGACCAAATCACTCCTTCAATATAGGACCTAATCATTATTAGGTCCTCTACAGGCTTATCACATAGTCTCTGCAAATTCCCATGGTTCTTTATTGTCAAACTACTGAATGAGCAGTAAGAAAAACAATACTTTATGGCATTTACAGTTTTTCATTGTGGCACCACTACAATGAAAACAATGGTCTTTCATTGGAATATCATCTCACAATAACCAGGCTTTCTTTTTTCCTATATACAAGAGACTTAGTCTGCTTACATGATTCACTTTGAAGATAACCAAAGCTGCTAGTTTCTTGTCAACTCTCCAGATAAGACTTTTCAAGCTGAGGTCAGTATGAGTTCCAAAACCAAGTTAACCTTGATGCTGAATCAATTGATTCAGAAAATCAGTAGGACTGCTTTTATAGCCTAAGGAGGCTAAATTGAACTATCTGAGAGGACTGTCAGACTTACAGTGTACCTGACTATAAGGTACTACATCCATATTGTGCCCATAACAACACTAGCTAAAGATGAAACATTCAAACATGTCAAACTCTGGATGACAATATCAATTTCAGAGATATCTCTTGATTGAAGTTTAAATGGAAGAGGCTTCCTTTTTCTAAATTACTCATTACATTACTCATAAAATCACCTACATTTCTTCTTGTGACTTCATAGTTTAAGAACTCCATCATGAAGAACAAGACATCTTCCACTTGTGACAGCTTCCAAATTATTAAGTAACGTGATAAAATGCAAAATAGAATTATAGAGCACATGGCTCTGGGAGTTCTTGTTACTCATGTGCAAATGATCAGTGGCTGAAATTAGAGACAGATCTTGACTGCTATTTTCTTATGACAGTTGAAAATGAGAGGCTCAAGCAAACCTCGGCTTAACGGCAGACATGAAGTCTGCGCTGGATCAGGAAGGGCTAACCGGTAGAGCTAACGTCAGCAGAAACTAGCTTAGGCCAACGAGCAGCGCGGGAGTCAAGTTCAATCTTACCTCCTGTGTGGATTTAACATTAGGCGACAGTGAGTGACCATCATGCAGCTGGTCACCACTCTCATGGCCAGAAGCTGAACTGGTGGAGAATTGGCCTCCACTCTTTTGCTTGTGGACGGTCCGTGATATCCAACAGGATGAGGTTGTGATAGCTTTCAAATGCGAACTGGGTATGTACTGTTGCCGGAAGAATCCCGTAGCACAATCCCAGACTCTAATATTTCCATCAGCTTCAGTCAACACGAAATATTCTCCATCCGGAGAAAAAACAACGTGGGCAGAAGCCGCCATCGCCCACTGGCTGCCATAACCGTAACAGGGTTGCCAGCCCGGAAACTACGCCTCTCGACTAGGTTAGCCGCAAGCCGTAGTTTCATCCACGCAAGTCCACCGCTGTTATTCTCAGTTATAGCTTCATTTCTGAATAGCTTCCTTCAGATAATCTTTGCGAATGAGAATGAGACTATGATATAGAGAGACTTTGAGGTGACCAGACGCACTGGTTTATCTTGGACGGCCCCGGCTTTCAGCCACGCGTTATCTCGAGGTGTCTTTGCCCTGGAAAGGAAGTCTTGCATCCGATTCCTCCAGTGGAAAGATGAGGGAGGGAGGGAAGGGGTTCATCCACGACTTCCCTTCGCAGATCACCAAGCCCCAGCATCAATTCCATATTGACATACGCCTGCAATCACTACGGATTGTAGGTATAGGAGCAGTAGCATGTCATAGTATATCTGAGCGTGGTTTCCAGACTCCTGCTGGGAATAGGCCTATCCAGGCCGGATTAAGGGGGGGGGGGGGGACAAAGGGGGCAGTTGCCCCGGGCCCCACTCTTCCAGGGGGCCCCCGAAGGAAATTAAAAACGTTAAGTACAAATACGTATTGTAATTGCGTAAAGTAGCGGGGAGGGGGGGAACCCCAGGAATTCACTTGCCCCGGGCCTCGCAACTTCTTAATCCGGCCCTCGGCCTATCAATCTCATATCTATAAAAAGAATTTATGCTACGAGTCGAGCTTGTCGCTTGAAAGACAGCAGTTAAAAGAGGACTTATTATGCTATCTAAGGGTACTGAGCCTTCTATCTGGGTCTGTCAATTCCTCAAATGAGTCATTACGAGGTGCTCTAATGAACTAATACACCTGGACAGCTTTGGTAGCGGACGCATAATTTAGGCTTCTGATCCCGAGCGCTCGTCTTGACCCACTGTTGGGTCAAGTGGGTCAAGACAAGTCCTTTTTCCTTTTCACCTTCGGAGACCCTTAGCTGTCTGCAAATGAATTCCACTGTGGGCTTCGCAGCAGACATCACCAAGGAGTGGAGGAGGAGCCACCCCCTACCGGACACCTCCCACCTCCAAGAGACCTCCCCCGGACCAGGACATGGGGGTGGAGGAGAGACTAGATGGTGGACTAGAGACTCATTGGGTGTGATCGTGTGACTTTGTATAACGGTGTGTATTGTATGTCTGGATTGTATAGTGACATGTAAATTATTCCCGTCGCCCTCGACTTATCAACTGTCCTCCTGCCTGGTGCCTGTAGACTGTACGAGTGAGTTGCATACATTCAATATATCCATTGTTATTGTTGCTGAACATCCTAGTCCTTCCGAATCTCACTGGTACTTATCTAATTGGAGTCAGTCCGTATATAATAGCGCCTGCGTACGTACACGGAGAACACGCGATCCCATTCGGCGGCCTCGCCCACACCACCTTCACTTTGGGCTCCGTAGAACAAATGTCCAGGGCCGCCCACAGGGGGGGAAGCAGATGGGGCAATCTGCCCCGGGCCCCAAGGAGTGCCTCCAAAGGGCCTCAAGGGGTCTCCAATTTAGTTTTGCCCCGGACCCGGGGCAAAATGCTGTCCCCTTTCCCCGAAAAGGGGACAGCATTCCCCCAGCACTGGATGTCTCTCGTGGAGGGATTGGAGACCTAGTTTACATTTACAAGCATACGGGGTTATTAATCCTGTTTGGGTCTACAGGACCCGAGGCCATGTCGCTTGTCACCTCCCTATGCTGTAATTGCTCGGATCGTGTGGCCTTTAGTTGCATTCAGATGCGGTTTTTTTTTTTTTTCCTCAAGCTTTATTCAAATGAGTGTTTTGCTTTTGAGGGATTAGGTGTTTTTTTTTAGTTGATAATTTAAAATAGAATTCACATTTTGCATTTTTACCCCTTGCCTATGTTGGGCCTAATATTACGCCCCTGATTTCCCATTCAGGTTTCAGGGTTAGAAAGTATAATCATTCTTCTTTAATATGACGAAATTATTTTTGTATTGCGTGTCATTAAACTTGAGAGAAACATATAGGTACGTTTTTAACGGAAATGGATATTTAGTACCAAAAGAAAAAATCCGCAGTGGGATTAGGATTAGCGGGAATAAATTGACATAGTTAACGGGTTATGACATTTCCAGGACTGACGTGCGCCAGTGGTCAGTTAGCTCATCCGTCTCCACACATCCGCCCAGAGTCTCTCGATATCGAATGACCCATTCTCAGCATGGGTTGATGCGTGAACAAAAGGTAATTGGATTCCAGGGTCAGTGTCCCCGCTCGTTCATCGATGGCAAGGGCTAGGCCATTTTCTATGCGCAGGGAATCGCAAGCGAAAACGAACTCTTGGGATTTGGAGAGGATTTGCACACGGGACGCAGCTAATTCGATTCGGACGAATCGTGATCTGCGTGCGAGTCGCGGCTGCGGGCGAATCGATCGGTCTAGACAGTTCGTGGCCGATATAAATACTTCCGGTATTTTGGAGGTTTGGGCTCGCCTTCGCGCTCAAAAAATCATGGAGGAGTGATCGAAGATGCAGATCGTCGCACGAAATCGGCCCGAATACGAATGGTCTGCGATTGTCCTTTTCTTCGAATGAACAACACGCGGCTACGGTCTCCTCGCTGAGTCTTTTCCGTGGACGAATGGAAAGATACAGAAGCAGCCTGAAGCCTCAAACGGGATTCATCGCTACGGTATTTAGCAGTCGACTTTCGCGCTCCTTCGCGAACGGATGGCTGCTGGACCCCGAGCGAGTTTCTGTACTTGCTACGGATGTCTACTGGCAGTTTCCCTCCCTTCCCGTAACAATGACAATGAGTTCATAGTTTGAGATGTAGGTACGGAAAATTCGCGATGGTGCTACTGCACCTTCCGTTCAAAAAAAAAGTCTTTTAGAGCTTTGTTTCCCATCCTATGGTATTTTCGTAACGAGTTCATACACCCATAAGGGCGTTACTGATATTTCGACTCGAGGGACATCTCTGAATACCAGTTCACATCGCACGTAAGACTGGAGGAAACGCTAGTTCCGCCGCTGTCGGTAGGTCCATAGAAAGCAATAGTTTACATTGGATTGAATGAACTCATCACGAAAGCACAACCGATTGCGTCCCGTTCGAAGAATCGCTAAAGAAGACAAAAGGTAATCAATGCGCTGGCATCCGCCTAATTGGCGAATAGATAATAGAAAACGATTTGTGAACAACGGCAGCTGAGTGGATACACTCTCCCCACCTTTTCAGGATTGCGAAGCGGTGGAGAACCGTGGCGGCAGCCATGCGCCGTTGCCATGGCAACCTCTGTTTGACTCAACACGCACCCGTCGTGGGATGCTCGCAACTCCCCATGTGCATACGTTCGAGACGTGACCGTTTCCCCCTTCTTCTTTCGCCCATGTGTCGTGTAGATCCATGATGCTATCGCGAGACTGAAGAGCACCAGAATCCTCGTGGCAGGCTTCAAGGTCACACAGGTGAGCGGGTGCCCCTTTGTCCCCCATATCCAGCGAGATGATTCATTGCTCGGGCGAGATCTCCTTCAAAGCGGACCCGTGGTTCCTTCGTACCCTCGCCAGGTGACCGAATGCTCTGGTTTTCGAGGCAGTTTCGGCTTTTGGTCGTCGCTTTAATGCAATAGTTTCATAGTCGTATGAAAAGCCTGTCGGATGCAGATGCTGCTGAAAGTACTGCGATGTCAGTAGAGTTATATGATTAACTGCGTCGTATTTGAAATATCTATCCACGTCTGTGGCATTGTGAAGGAAATGTCAGGCCGTAAGAAAGCAACCCCCATGACTTGAAGTGCTGCCTCGGTGAATTTTTATTGTTATTTTTATTTATTTACTATTATTTATTTCTTTTTTAGTAGGACCGAAACCTGCGGTATAAAGCAGAGTTTCTCCACCTTTTTCACCCTGTGGATAAAGAAAAGAGAGGGACTGCGCGGATCAACTTTGCTATCGCTTAAAGTTGTAAACTACTGAAGTAGAGCTAATAATTGAGACTCCATTTTGAAGTTTGCTGGAAGGCACACCTTAAGACCTAAAATATCTGGAACTGCTAGAGCAAGGTTTTTATTGCATGCCAGCATATGCACGAGACGAAATGGAAAACTCCGGATGTAGGACATAATGGTCCCGAACATTTTGGTCCTGGACAAAATGGTCCCGGAAATGTTGGACCAACATTTCCCGAGGACCATATTGTCCGGGACCATTTTGTCCTGGGACCACATTGTCCAGGACCATTTTGTCCTAGGACCGTTTTGTCCGAGAACCGGAAAACTCCAAAACTCTTTCGCTGCACCTCTCGAGTCTCTCTTTCGGCATCATCAACGGATTAATCTGCGTGATGACAAAGAATCTGCCCAGACGAAGCAGACCGCAAGCAGCCGAAGCTTCTCCCTCGACGGCGATGAGCCCCCTAGAAGCCTCATCAATGAATGATTCTCCCTGATGAGAATCTGGCCGGCGCTGCTCCATTATTAAGAGGCGAAAAGTCTTCTTTCACCTTCTCGCTCCCACGTCATTTATATTCGAAGACGGGCCACGGATCCGAGTCATTGCTTTACGTGAGGAACGCGATCAAGGGATTTAGGATCGAGGAATTTTTTCATCTTCGTTGCGTGACGACGCAACGAAACTTTCAAACCGTCCTAGATTTTGACCTTTGGTGTTGTATTCTTACTATTTTGGCTTCGAGTTTGCCATGAAATAGTGCCATTTCAGACCCACGACACACCCTTCAGTTTGGGCGTGATGCTTCGCTTGGAGAGGCTTTTTTCAGGCTCAAGATACCTGCATCGACTTAACTATCGGGTAATTATGAAGACATTAAGGAGCTAACTCCATTGAGGACGCTCTATTGTGGGCCCACAGCAATCTCTCAATAGACGTGCGCCCTTTTTTATATTATATAATTTTTATTTTTGTGTCTCTCTCTGGATATGGTTTCGCGGCCCCCGGTTGAGAAACGCTAGAACGGATGTTGAGGTGGATGACTCGGCAAAATGCGTTTATTTGGCAGGAATTATCATTTCTTAATTCATATCGGGAATTAAGTGGAATTGTGCGGCTAGACGCAATGGCTCTTGCAGATAGTTGGCTCGAGAAGAAACATGCCATTTCAGGGCTAAATCATAAAGTCACTCTAGTCGAGTTGCCATAATTGTTTTATAAAAATCTCTCTCGGCTATCCAGGGTTTCCACTTTACGATAGAGGTAATTCAGCAAATAAAAGGAAAGGATATATTTGGTAACTCTGTCGACGGTGGACCGTATTCCCGATATGCACGACTGATATCGTCTCCGAGGACATGATTGCTAGCACGCCGGGCTCGGCTCTGGATCATCACGCGAAAAAGAGCCATGGAACCCAGAAATACGAACCACGAACACATCCTCGCGTCGAGGGACCCCTGCCCCAGTTAACGCACACCGCCCTCCGCCAGCGATCGGGAGCGATAATGTACCCAATCACGTGATGGATCTGACCCCGTTCAAGGCCAAAGCCCCTCGTCCCTTCCCCATCGACTCCCGTCCCCGACCGTGCGACCAGTCCCTCCCTCGCTCGTGCTCCCGCAGCCGCGTCCATGTCCGTCGCCTCCGGATATCTTCTCCCCCACCGCGGATCCTGGTATTTCGTGGAAGGGGAATCGCGGCTCGGCCCGCGTCCCGAGAGGAAAGGGAGAAAGCGCGGAGTCTCCTATTCCTGGCCGAGGAATAGGCTTAGGTATTGCCCTCGGGATTCTTCATTCCCTCTGTAAATATCTGCTCGTGTGCCGTGCCTACAAACATGTAGCTTTCGTGTTTATTTCTGCGTGATGATTGCAGAGAGGGTTCACTAGCATGCCATATTGGCCAAGTCATGCCATATATGCTACGTATATGCACATAAGATAGCCAGGCCATTGGTTTAAACAGGGCGATGGGGGGCGCAGAGGGCTAGTGGCCTCCCCTCCCCCCTTTGGCCTTCAGAATCTCCCCCTTCCAGGACCGGTGCGCCACTGGCCAGACAGATGAAAATATGGCCGTGGTGGTTTCCGAAATCGAAAAGGCAGGCGTTTCGGATCGGGTCTTCTTGTCTATCGCTCAGAGGATACCAGGAGTCAGATGGATTGCTGCAGCTCTGGACCGGATAAAATGACGTCACCATTAGGAGAATCGTAGCAAAAGTTGAGAAAGGAGTCCTAGGCACTAAAGAACTCGGCGAACCAAGAACGGAGAGGAAAGTAGTTCACTGCAAAAGTAAAAAATTATTAAGACCTTTTCGCGGGAGGTGAGAGGGAATGGCACAACTCTTTTTTTTTGCATTGCATTTCCAAAATAAGGCCATGATTTTCGTAGTAGCCTCCCTCCGAGAACTTGCGATTCTTCTGCTTCAGTTTTTAACAAATGACATCGATTCCGCTTATAGACTTCCTCGTTTCCGCCTGTGATATCACTTGATGATGGTGGAAGCATCATCGCATCGGCTTACCGAGCACGAACGCAGCGATACCATTGCCTTGCGACTTCCAGGAAATTGATGACATCGTTCACGGTTAGAGCAAGACGAAATGCATCCTAGAAACGAGGAAATCGGATCATCCGGATGACAGAGATCCCTTCATCCCGATCGAGCCATCCATCCCGATCCTTTTCTCCGGGAGGAAGTCGGATCGGACGCGTCTTGCCGTGGGGAATGGCGCGGTGGCGAGACCATCGTTGGTTTCTTCATTACCGGAATCGGTCCGGTCGGATGGGTCCCCGTGGGACGCACCGGTCGAGCCTGGGGATCAGCGATTCCAGGCCGCATCCGTCATAGACCGTGATTAGTCATTCCTCCGCTTTCGGGGCCCACGAGCCCACGGGGAGAAGTATTACATTATGGGATTCTCTCGGGACTCGGTGCACGCGATCTGGAACTAATCGACCGGGCCGGCCCCTTCTTTCATTTACGTCCTTTCGTCACGAGCTGGAAACGTTCGGATCCCCGCACGTGTGTCGACGAGATCTCGATGGAGTCAACCGAGCCGGGGATCCCTCGGATGGTCAAATGGCTGGAGTCGGCGGGGAAACGACCACTCCGACTCCGAGTCTGTGGCGACTTCGACGCGCTTTTTTTTTCTTTCGAACGAGAATTTCCTATCGTTCCGTTGGGTTCTCGCTCTAGCGACAAAAATCGAAATCCCGAGTCTCGCTCGATACTGCGCGATCTACGCTAGGAAGCACGGTCGTCGCGGAGAAACCCAGCGCTCGATACAGTTTTTCCATTTTATTTTTTAAACAGAATGGCGGCAGTGGTAGAGCCATCTGTGTCGACGGGACTGAGGTCGACGTCGACGGGATCTCGTCTAGATGGCCTCACATCCCTCATGCTCGCAGCCCAGCAGAACGACGCCGACGAGCTCCGGAACCTCATCAAGAAGGTACGCGTTTCCCCCTCTTTTTCCCCCTCGAGCCGTGAACGAATGATCGCATGAACGCACACGTATCGCAGGGGCATAGCGTCCGGGATCGAGACAAGTCGGGGAAGACGGCCCTGCACTACTGCGCCGAGAACTCCGATCTCACCTGCGTGGAGCGGGTCTGTCTCTCCTTCCTCCATTCCATCGCGTTCGAGCCTCCCCGTTCCTTCGATTGCCGCGTCCGATTCGTGGAAGCCGAAGGTGTGGGGGGAGGGGGGGGGGGGGCAAGAGGGGCCATCGCTGAAGGATCGGAGGAAATCGAATTTCTACCAGCATTAAAGTGGCTGTATGGATTGGCCTTGGCCTTCTCTGCTCTCGCTTCGATCTCTGGGATGCTCTTTTCCCGTTCTCATCCGATTACCTGCGCTCGTCCCGGAGATCAAGTCAATGAGGCTCATGGGGAAGATTCATTTTTCTTCAGCCTACGGATGTACTTGCCCGCCGATTCCGGGTTGCCGCAGGGCAAGGCTTTCGTCTAGGCTCACCGTTTTCGCCACGAAACAGGCATTCTGGGGAAGAGACCTCGCGAGAAGGGTGCTTACGCCGTTTTCATGCACTATGTTCACGATGTCAGTAATGAAAGGCTTGCAGCTAAAAATAGCTACACGTGTTGCTTCTATCGGCAACGTTCAAACACGAGTCCAGAAAGAGCAAGCTTCTTTCTTTAAAATTTACTGTTGCTTTTGTCTAAATGAGCAAAGATGGCATCGGCCGCAGTGAGAGACCTGGGATGCTGTGATATTTTTACTTGTTTCTGCTAAATAATTCAAGAGGTTTTTTTTTTTCATGGTACATCACTGCCCTTTCGGCAAATTACCATCCAAATCTGCTCTTTTGCGATCATGCATTCAATTACGCTATCGAAATTCGATTTTTAAAATGCGATTGAAAATATGCTAAATTTCCAGATCCTGATGGAGGCGCCGGAGACGATGAACGCACAGGACGAGGAAGGCTTCTCCGCCCTTCACCTCGCCGTCATCTGCGGCAACGCAAACGTCGTCAAGTTCCTCATCCGGAAGGGGGCGGACATCGGGGTGTTGGACAACGAAGGCCACTCCCTCGTCCACTGGGCGACAGGTGCCTCGCACTCGCTCCGTTATCGAGCGCTCGCCCTCGTGGCTTCGCGGGGGGGGGCTTCCAGTAACTCGACGCGATAAGGTCTAGGTTGTGTGTGTTGACTCGACACCGCGGAGACCGAGTTGTTTACAACTCATCACGAATTCTGACCTGCATTCGCTCGTTATCGTGCATTCTGACCTGCATTCGCTCATTATCAGGGGCAAAGGGGGAGGGGAGGGGGGGACTCGATGGCCGATCTGACCTTGAGAATCCGTCAAGACTCAAGGACGCAGAATGAGCTATCGATTCACACGTGTTTCCCGGCGATGCCTCTCCGTTACTCGATAGGCACGGAGTGATTAATAATCACGTGCTCACTCGGATCCACAGTTCCTACGCGCATCAATTATGGATCGGTCCGCGTGTGCCTTTCCTTGTTCGAAACGAAGAAGTATTGCCGGTCGGAATACTTTCGGGCTTCGTTCTCGCGAGGTGCGAGATGAGAAATGCACCGAGATACGGGGAAAGCATTCGTTTTATAATACATGGCCTTCGTGGGATGATTCATGAGCTTGTTCCTCCAAAGTATAGCAAAAGGACGTTGTAGGGCCCCTCCCGGCCCATGAATCAGATGAAAATGAGGTCCGGAATTAAAATAAATGATGTCGAGAGGGGGAGGATCAACACATATGGGGAACTTGGCTCCGTTTCGTTCGTGTCAATTTATTACGGGGGTCATGACCGATTGCACCTCTGACAGACGGATGGGTGGGGTGAGAAATTGATGGCTTCATTTGAGCGCTTCGGGATCCGAGGGCGTTTATGTTCTTGCGACGAAGCAGAACGAACCGGGATTTTGAAAGATTGACTTCTCTCGAAAGGAACAACAACGAAGAGGCCGCGATGAGATTTCATGATTTGCATAATCATGGCTTATTACCCGATATTGGCCGAATATTTCAATTTCAATTTCGAACTTTTCTGGAGGAAAATAGGACGAAGAACAGTTATGACGCAAAAAAGTTGGAAGAGAGGTCGTCGAGCCCCACTCCGAAGCGGCTCCAGCGGCCCCAGAGGCGTCGCGAAAGCCTGAGCCTGGAGGATTTTCCAAGAAGCCATTAGGAGCGGATGGAAGTTCGGAAGGGAAAAAGGCGATAAGAATCCGGCGAGATTTCGTGCCATCCGGCAGATCTGAAAGCCGTGTGCGTCGGGCGAGAAAACGGAAGAGGAATGGGCTTTCATTACGATCCAAATAATGAATGCGATGTCGACGTCAAACTTTTAATGCTTTTTCCCCCGCACTTTTAGTGTGTGTTTTTCGTTTCCTTGTCGAAGGTAACCATACTTTTCCGTTTCGAACGGGGTTTAAAAGCAGTATTTGCACAATCAGTTCCAAGCTTTGGCTTGGAATAGACGAGACTGCGGGGGGAGGGGGGATGGGTTCGGTTCCTGGAATCATTTGTACAATTGGAGAACCCTTACTCCCAGTAATGACCGTTGGAGTTGCTCGATTGGCGTCCTTATTTCACCGCAGTAGACTTACAAAGTCTAATTTTATCACGTGCGCTTCGAGCCGTTGTCTGTGAGCATCTCACTTATTTGACGAGTTTGCGATGCGAATAACGAGGGAGTCGAGAAGCTCTTCGCCGATTCCCGAGAACCTAAAATTCCCAGTCGGGCCGGGAAGCCGCACGGAACGAAAAATTCAACGGGATTCCGTCGCTTGCAGTCTGTGGGGAGGTGGAAGTCCTGGACATCCTGCTGGAGGCGGGGTCGGGAGCAGACACGAGGGACCTGCACGGAGCGACGCCGCTCCACTACGCGGCCCAGCTGTGCGCACCGACGGGGAACCTCCTCAACGGAGGACCGGATCGGAGGATCGGACTCAGGACCCTCAAGAAACTGCTGCAGTGGGGGGTGCCCGTCACCACGGCGGACAACGACGGTCGGCAGTCGCTGCTCTGGGCTGCCTCGGCAGGTGGGTGGCCGTCGTCGCGAGGACGAGGATCTCGAGTGCGACGTTCGCGATTCGGGTCGGCTGGCTTTGCGATGTCGCTCTCGAGGCACCTTTCCATCTGGATCGCGGTGGCCTGCCGACGACTCGCATGGCGAACGGATCCTAAACTATACTAACGTTCGAAAGAAACGGCACAAAGTGAATTAGGGCTCGCTCGAGTAATAGGAGTTATGATGGCATTTTATGTCTTTCTCTGAACATTTCATCACCGCCTGAACGTTCTTAGCGTGTACTTGCCAACCTTTGAGAGCCGTGCACGTACCACGTCGGGAATATGCCTAATTAGGTTTTCTCATGCCATATGTAAAGTCCAGATTTCAACGGTTTCATTCCACTGTGCACGTCATACCGTCTCCGAAAAAATGAGAGATATGCCTAGGCTAGCTTGGAAAAAAAGGGACCGGGCGATTAAAATGTTCCAGGAAAGTGTAACGCTTGTTGCGTTTCTGTTGCACAGTGGAATGAACCCATTTTTTAGCTATGGAAATCTGGACTTTAAATATAGCTTGGAGAAAACCTAAATACGCATGCTTCTGAGATGGCACGTGCACGGCGCTCAAAGGTTGCGAGTACACGCTAATAATGTTCAGGCGGTGTTGAATTGTTCAGCAAAAAAAATTGTTAAAGACAGGGTGTGACAAAAAAAACGCGCCGTTCTTTGAGATTTATTCGATTTTATGAGAGAGCAGATAACACGGCAAAATTTTATTTTTAACAATTTCTACGTATCCTTTAACCGTCCGAAAACTTTTTTCGTTTTTGTCCAGCCGTTTTAGCACAGGAGCGAAAACGCCAAAGCAGCTCGAATTTTACTTTTGCGCGAGGAAACGTATCGGCGGAAGAGTAGTTGGTGCGCGTGGAGTGCACCAATCTCGAGTCAGAACTCCTCTGCCCAAAAAAAAAATGCTGCTCTTTGCGAAAGGATGGTGTAGGGCAGAATTTTGCGAGAATTTCCTGGTAAGGGATGGAAGAAATGTAAACCTATCGTGAAGAGATTGTCTCACAAGAGAAACCGGCTCATCTGAGAGGAAACGAAGGAGTGAAAGACTAAAACTCGCCGGTTCTGATTGAAACTTCGTTCATGTGAAAGCAGTCATTTTTTTCTCTAGTTGACTCCTGGGATACGAAATTCCTATTTGCAAATTGCCATGCACAAGGACAAGTCAGATATTTGCTTAGCGGATTCTGAAGCTCAGAGGGAAAAAAACGCTGAAAAGAATTGTCATTCCACCCGAGTGGGGTAGGTCCTCCCGTCAGCGTCCATGAGCGAGTGCAAAAATAAAATTCCAGTTACTTTGGTAAAATCAGACGTGTGCTGAAACGGCTAGAGATAAACATCCAGAAATTTTTCGGATGCTCGAAGGAGGCTTCGTTCAATTATCTGATTGGTGACAATAAATTTTGAATTGCATCAAATGGAGGCCCTTCTCTGCAGGACGTTTAAATATGCTAGCGTCCAAAAGAAACGTTACTTCGTTGAAAGAAACTTCGTTGTTTTAGCTGCTGTTTCAGAGGCGCCACAAAATTTCAAAGAGTGCCGCGTTTTTTTTTTTTTAGTCTCTCCCGGTATAATGCCATCACAACTCCTAACATGCGGGCAAGCTCTACATTACCTTGTAACGTTTCTTTTGGACGCTAGCATATTTAAGCGTCCTGCAGAGAAGGGCCTCCATTTGATGCAATTCAAAATTTATTGTCACCAATCAGATAATTGGTACGAAGCCGAAAACTCGGCTCATAAAAAGACCGTAAGTGCCATCACAGGCAGAGCCTTATGTTGGAAATTGTTGGAGGAGCACTCAGCAGGTTGTCTTAATCGATTGGAGTGACTTCGTTAAGATGGATTTCCGTTGGATGAATCCCGTCGTCGCTTTTGATCGCAGGGAGTGCAGATGCGATGCTGGCATTGGTCAACGCAGGAGCTCGAGTCGACGCCGAGGATAAGGACGGTCTCACGGGTAAGGTTCACGTTCCTCCGACCCGACGTCATCTAAGCGAACCGAAGACGTTATCTGATCGCGATTCCGCGTGAATTTATGCTCCGATCGTTTGCTCGGGGCGGCCTGCGGTGAAGCAAAGCTGGCAGCGCCAGCGTGATGGATCGTAAGGGCTGTCATTCATCGGCATGTGATGGGCATGCCGAGGAGCCGATGGGAACGAGCGGCGAGAAGGGGAAGAGGAAGCACGTCATCAGTATTCAGAGCAGTGAGGAAGTCGTGGACCTCCCTCCATTCCCGCCCGATCCTCTAAGCGATGCGGAATTGACGCCAATAAGTCTTGGTGGTCGACATTCTTCGCTTCGGAGAAGAACGGGAGGGAATGGGAGGGGGTGTGACAAGCTGGGAGAGCCCATCTTTGCTATCTTTATCTCGTTGAACGAAATCCTATTGCAGTATGCATCTTCCCCGCCACAATTCATTTCTCGATAAAAATTGTGTCAGTTTAAATGACATGGGTGGAGAGAACACTGGAAATTGACGTCAAAGGAATGATGGAGGACGGGTGGAGTGAGGACTCTGGGACATTATGGCCCCGGCTGTAAAAGAGAAGTACGACAGCCCCTCATAATGAATGACTGTGATACCCACAAAAGATAACGTTTTCGAGACATGTTCTTTATTAACTGAGAGGTTATAAATAGTTGTATATTCAAGGGAGGGGGCTCCCTAAGATCCCTGGAGATTTTTTTTAATAACTTTCTAACTACCCCCCCACCCCCCCTTCCCTCCTACCTCGCTCCCCTCCCCCTCCTCCTCCCCAACCTACAAAATCTGGATCCATTCTTGCTTATAATTCACTGGTTGGGATAAGAGCTTTCTCGAAAATTTTCATAACTGAAAAACAATAAACATACGTAGGGTAACTTGGAGGAATATGGCTCTTCGCAATAAATCCCCTTTCAGATTGAATAATTAATTTGGGCGAATTAAAAAAAATTGTTCTATCGAAGAGTACATGCAATTGTCGAAATGTTTAGACCAGTTCATTGATCCAGTTCTTAAAGGAATTCCGAATACATCGATGCCTTGAAAGTCATATGCATGCTATTCTTTGACTCATGACCCTGAAACTAATATGAGCCTTGAGCAACTTAAACGTATATTTCCTGATAGCAGCATGGATACAGAAACCACTTCTTCGAAGTTCTTCTATGGTCCCTCCAGATTGCTTGTTCAGTGTTAGCTCATTCACTTGCGGTTTGCAGACAGTTTCATCAATTTTTTCATGCAAGGCAACATGGGGAAATATGGCCATCTCGATTTGAGGAAATATGGACACATCCTTCATTTCATATTAGCTCCGCACTGACCTATTGGTAGTGTCAGCTTCCTTTAATTTGGGATCTTAGGCTGCAAAAGATCATCCTGTGCACTTCCTCTGGATATATGGATAGACGTACTGAACATCTGGACGAAATATTCAGTACATGAGGATATGCTCATGCACCGCCTCCTGGACATCCGCTTTGCTTGACATAATATAGAAATTTTCGTGGCACAAAATTTGAATGCAAGTAAATATCCTTCGAGCAAGAAGTTAAAAGGGCTTTCTGCGTTTTTTTTTGGCATTATTTATCCATACATGCAAAAACTTCGCAACGTTTTTCCCGCAATGTAAGACCTCTATTTTACACTCGTAAGGCATGTTCACTTTAATTTATGATTGATCACTCCTCTCACACCTACAGTCTCTAGATTAGAACTGCTGAGCCACCCTTGTTATGTTTCGAGGTACTCAGCATGTTCCAGCATATTTCACACGTTCCTGGAAAATCTCGAATAATTTTTTGAGAAGCGGCCATATTCCCCCAACAATACGGGTAATATTGCCTCTTGGGACCAACTTGGAAAGGATCCAAAGGCGCAATATCCATGCGGTTTTTTTCATGTGCCTTGCTGGGATTTAGTAAAGGAGATATGAGCCAGTATTTCAATAACATTGTAAAAGCCTAATTCGTTTTTGATGGGCCGTTATGACCAGGTTTCATTTTGTAGGGCCATATTCCCCCCAAATTACCTTATACAGTATTTACGATGCTGAAAAGACGGATAGAATTGGAAGCTTGAGATAGACTCAACGCCGCATAAACTGTCGCGCCAGTGTCATAAAAAAAACGCCGTATTTCTGACCTCATAATGGAAATTTTTCTTCGTATATGCGCATTCCTGAACAGGCAGTTGTATTTATTGCGATTAAAAAAAAACTGATGGTAAACTTAATGATTTGATAGAAAACATCGGTGCAATGAATGACAGATACTTGGGTAAGAAAATTTTCATTGGGGGAATGGGGGGGGGGGGGGGGGGGGGGGGGGCAGCCAAGGCAAGATTGATCTCTTCGGAAGGCCTGAGTTTGACAAGTTATGAACTGATCTTTCCATGAATCGTATGGGGTTTGCGGTTGTGGTTTATCATTTATTTAGTACAAAATAAATCCCAGACTTTCCCATAATCCCAGGCAGCACACCACGTAGGGCCCACGTTGGCTACACGTGGGCCAACATAGCAGTGGGCTATTCATGTAGGCCCCATTTCGGCCCAGTGCGGCAGGGAACATTTGTCCCATCTGGGGAGGAGCCATCTATCTCAATCGAACGAACAAGGTTCCCACAAGTTAAACGAGCTAGCGCCTAAGTAGCCGCAATTTCAGTGGCATCGGGAGTGACTCGTCATAAGCTCCCGGTACTTTTCACGCGGCACCTCATATTTTCCCCCAGACAACGGAGGGGAAGACGCTCGAATTCCGCGATTCATGGACTCTAATTGCGAAGGAAACATGGTTCGAGTGGGGGCTTCACTCGATGGGCTCATGAGAATTTCAGCTTTTAGCCTTTGTTTGTGTAGGCTGTGTCTGGGCCCATTTTGCAGTAGTGGCGTAGCCAGGGTTTCGCCAAAAGGAGGGGGGGGGGGGGGGACTGAAGCCCCATCCCTCGCTTCGCCACTGATTCGCATGATGTAGATCGTGCTTGACATACGAGAGGATCACCTAAGATATACATTCGGATGAAGCCCTTCCAGAGCCGACGAGTGATGGAGGAAGTCCCAATGGGGTTCTAATTCCTTGTGGAAAGTGGATGCCTCAAAAGTAGGAAATCGACGGAGGTAGTTCTCGTTCGAGGACTCCTGGCCGGATCGAGAGAGAGTTCTTGGAAAGATCCCCGGTAGAGGATCTCAACATCGACGTACAATTGCAGAAACTCACTCGAAGCCTCATCAAACGCCAGCCGTTCGCGATGGTCGAACGCGGGCTTCCAACGTCAGCCCGACGTGGGTGTGCCGTCTGAGCACGCGCTCTCGTCATACTGTAATCCAGGCAAAACTTTTTTTAGCCATCGTCGGACGACGAAGGTAGGTCGTAACGGACGGGTAGACAAGACAGAGCGGAACTAATGGTGACTTTTTAAATTTAAGAAGTAGGTCGTGTAAAAATAAAAACGCGATCGACCGTTGCAACCACGAACGCAATACTGTAGACACGACAAAAAAGAAACCCGATTCGGAATATCGCATGCGATCGTGGGTTCCCCTTAGCGCTTCACTGTGCGGCGAGCAGAGGCCACGTGGACTGCATCGAGACGCTGGTGAGCCTGTGCGGGGCGGAAGTGGACGTCCTGGACGCGAACGGCTGCACAGCCTTGTTCTACGCCGTCACCCTCGGCCACGCCGACTGCACGCAGCTCCTCCTTCAATACGGCGCCGAGCCCAACCGACAGGATCGCAAGGGCCGCACGTAAGCCCGTCGTTTCCCCTTTCCTCTATCTAGCAGGAACGATGGAGTGACGAAGGTCTTAATGGCGGCAGCTGCGAGTGCCGTTTTTAATGCAAGTGATTCCGGCAAAGCAAACTGTCACGCTGCTTGCGTTGCAGCTTTCTTTCGACGGTGATTTCACCGTTGAAAGAGCCGAATTTAACCTTTGGCGTACGGATTCAAAATTTTAGGTTTCCCCCCCTGGTCGGCATTGAAATCGGGGGATTTAATTGCGAGGAAACCTGCTTGTTTAAAGTTTCATCTCTTCGCGTCTATTTATCCGTACGATCTTTACTATTTATCCGTATAATTACATTTTTCTGTATGACCTATTTATCCGGTGAACGATGCGGATAGATCCGTCACTCGGCCGTGAAGGAGAACAATTTGTGCGGATAGATCCGTCATTCTAACGGTAAAGGTTAAATCCGCCAGAGAGTCGTTCCGCTGAGCGTACACCGGAGCGGATCGGATCCGAGCTGAGTAATTTCCCCGCTTCAATTATATTTCGTTGTTTTCAATGTCATCATGCAAACCATAGCTAATCGGATTCGAGCGGATTTTTTCCACGTCGACGGAGTAGGTCGTTTCCCATTACTTCCGTTCTGTCGGCGCATTTTCCGGCCGACATGGATGCGTCGATCGCTCGGAAAGACGGACCTGCACGACGCGGCATGCTCTTCATCCCGGAAGACTCTTCATCCTGGCTTGCTCCTCATCCGCTCTGCTTCCTTACGCCGACAAAATCGCAGGGAAATGAAGCGTTCCGATCCGACACGCTTCGGCGTGCGACCACCCTTTCCGTGGCTAATTCATGTGGGAATAACTAAGAGGGCACCAAACTCGAGCTAAAACTTGCGTCTCGCAAATTTCGCAAGTGCAAATTCTCAATTTTCACGTTTGCCCCCTCTTAGGCCGGCGCACTGCGGCGCGGCCAAGGGACAATTGGAGACGCTGAGGCTGCTGCACGGGGCGGGAGCGAACATCTGGGCCAGGAACATCCGAGGGGACGTGCCGCTTCACGAGGCCATCCAATCGGGGAGGAAGGATTTGGTCACGTGGTTGCTCAGTTCGAGGCCGGAGGCGGTGAACTTGGGGAACAACGACGGGCGGTGCCCGCTCCACATCGCGGCCGTCAATAACAACATCGAGATGTGCAAGGTGAGGGCCCGGGGGGGTCGATTGCATTCGGAATTCCTTTTGTTTTACTCTGATTTCTCGCTCCTGTGGTGCGGAAATTCCTCGACGGAACGGACCCAAACCCCGACCCGAGTTTCTGCTCGGCGGGGTCGAATGCGCGGTTCCGGGGGAATTTATCAGTCGTGAAGGACCTCGTGAAGCTTTCGCGTCCAGATCATCGGCATCGATTTTTTCCCTTTTTTGAAAAAAAATTTATGATTTCCTCTTCCATATTTGAACACTTTATACATATGTATATTCTAGCAGAGGTACCCGACGTTGCACGGGTGAATATTTTATAGGTCCCATATTTGTCTGCACTAAATAAGGTACTCCCGGGAAGGGAAGGATTTAGGGACAGGCGACCCTGGCGACCGCCCGGGGACAGGGAGCGTCTTCGGTGGCAGGCCCTGCCCTGGGGGGGGGGTCCGAATTTTGAAACGCCACCTGCCCTATGACCATCCCCGGACCAAATGAGGAAGTCATGCAAAGTTTGGCCGGAGTGGGATCAGAGGTGTGGCCGTGCATCAAGGACAAACAGACAGACACACGAACACTCAGAAATATAGTATCTACCAAACACATTTATTATTATTATTTCACTCTCTCTCTCTTTTTCTCTCTCTTTCTCTCTTAGTCTAACCAATTACTTTCATCGCTCGTCGAGATTTGAAAGTCCGGAATCGCCATTAAATTTTTTTGTTGTTGTTGCCAAAAACGGATTCTTTTGCCTCCTGCATTAACAAAAATAATACACAAATGGTATCCGTAATACGATTACTAAAAAGCCTCTTCGTCGTGATTGATCATTCTCTACCCCTTCCCGACCGGAATTGAATAAGCCGGCTGGGAAAAGAAAGAATTTTATTTCCCCCGAATTTGCGTATTTCCTCCGACCTTTCTCCTCTCCCCCGTTTTCTCTTTTTCTCTTTCTTGCCCTCGCAGCATCTTCTTTTACACTCGTGGATCCCAAGGCTTTTGACCGCTCTCGTGCAGGTGAGTCCTCTGATTAAAATCCGGGATTCACCGCTTTTTTTTTGTTGCTTTATTCTCTGGGTCGTGACGTCATGGAACGTGGGTGTTTCATAGTAGTGCATGGAAATGCCGCCATTTTTCGTGGAATTCATCGCAGGACGAATTTTACCAAGGACTTTGAGCTGTATCTCAGAACCGTTTCAGTCATATCTCACCGAAGCTGATGAAGATGCAGTTTTTTTCCCCCATTTTTGCTTTAAGTTTAAAATTTTAGATGGTGTGGATTGAAGTTGCGACAGACCGGAACCGTTGCGGGAACTGTCTGCAGCGTGGGCGTTGGGAGCTCTTAATTGGCACAGGAGAGTGAAAAGGCGAGGCTCTCCGTAAAATTGCGAACCGGATGTATTGCGAACCGGTTGGAGTCTGCCTTCGACAAATTGGGTCATGTTGCCTAATCCTGGAATAGAATTTCATTAAGGGGGGAATATAGTTGCTGCGAGCAAGGTTCTTATTGCCTCTGGCATCACGTGTTTGTCTTCCTTATCTGGGTATGAGAGAGATCATGGCTCGGTTTTGCCTGGAAGGAGAGGCAGCAGAAGTGGAATTAACGAAAAGTTTAGGTTGCTCGAAACGACCGTCTGGCGAAGCGAGAGTTCGCATGAAACCTTAGAATGGATTTCGATTTTCTGGGGTGTGCCGTTCAGACGAAAAAGGCGAGAACCGTTCGATCATCCGGTTTTGGTCATTCGAAAAGAAAGAAGGCGAGGTACATTCCTGCCAATTTCCTGGCTTTTTCTGAAACAATTCTGAGATACAGCGACTCGAGTCTTAGGTCTTTTTTCTCAAAAGCAAAACACCTTCCAAGAATTAGGGCGGACGCTCGTGGCCGAAAATTTAGAAAGCATCTCGGAGCTTCGCCGTGCCGACCGTTTCCGACTACGGCGCCGGAAGCGGAGGTGGCCACGACTCCGCGGAAATTCGTCTCATCTGTCGCTTTCGGCTGATTGTGCAGCGAACACAAAATGCTCCTAGCACCTGAAAGAGGCCGATAAGTATATCCCTATTCCCCGAGCACTTACTACTGCAGATAATTTTTAAAAAGGGACGGGACGTCTCCCGAAGGGTGAGACAGAGGAAAGAGAGACGGGCGGAATTCCTCATGATTTCATCATATCACTCGACATCATGACTTCACTCTACTTCACCGTGAGGCATGTGGCTGGCACGTGCACGACTAGTCATTGGTGTAGCATGAATGTAGCTGGAGACACACGATCGGCCGGCAGTTCTCACTCTGGACGCGGCCCTCGTACCCTCGGAAGCATTCGGGTCACGACCCGGTCCTCCCGAGACGATGCTTCTGAATTTCGGCCAGCGAGCTTCCCGAGTGCGCCAGCAAGACTTCCATCGACATCGTATCGTTACAGGAGATATCCATAACATAACCGTCGGGAATTTAGCATCTTTTTTCAGGCTTCTTTTTTTAACTTTTTATTTTATTTTAAACCCAACGTACAGGGTGATTATTAAGAAGGTACCCCACTAGAGAGCATCATAGCGCCTAAACCACGAGGCATGAAACGGTGCCATCGCACTCGCGTCACAAGCGAAAAGTGGAGAATCGATTCCTGCTCCTTCTAAATCTTGCCGCAGGAGACGCCACCAAAACATAATTTGCAATTTAGGCATGCCATCATGCAGGTAAGTTGGAGCATCTGCACTCCTGTCACCTTCATCTTGCATATCGGTCTCAGTAGCTGTTCCGGCTGAGTATTTGCACGACGACCTCTTTCACCTTTCTGTGCAATATGCAAATAAAAATGGAACGGTGGCGTTCTTGTGTCAACATTTGTACCGGAATGTATTCCCCACCTGGCATTTGTCGTGCCTACATCGTGCCTAGGTCATGGCACCTTCATGTCATGCCACAACCATGGCACTTCATGGCTTCGACGCCGCGGCGCTCTCGGGCGGGACGCATTACTTTTTAATCACCCTTCGTTTTTAATTGCGGGATAGGCGTAGATAAGCCCTTGTTTGCCCTTGGATGAGTTCTTGTTTGCCCTTAGACGAGTCCTTTTTGTCTACGATGAATGTCGAAACGCGATCGTTTAAATTCTTCCGCCGTTCCGCTGGGCTAATCTTTTCCGGAAAAAAATAAAAATAAAATGGAATATAAATAATGTTTTAGCTAGAAAAACGAGGTATGAAATGCTCTGGTCCTCATGACGTCACGCGGCTTCAGACCGATAACTCCGAGCATAAATAATATAAATGTGCAGCATACAGTCGATGGAACATGAGCCGATGCGATAAAAAAATTATGCTAATGAAGCGGGTGATAATGCAGCACTGCATGAAGGGATTTCCAGTGGAATCCAAGGGAATCCAAGTGGAATCCAAGGAGAATCCAAGTGGAATCCAAGGGGAATCCTGTGACTTTCGGCTTGAATCTGGCACTGCAAAGCGATCGTATTGCGTTTATTTGGCTCTCGATGAAAAGAGATCGATGAAGCTTTCGTTGGTATTTGCTTCGGTATCGCTGGTATTTGGTGGCTTGGCGCTCGAAGTTCCACTTCAGAACTAATAATATGGGATTTTCTTCTCCTTACGCGTCTTTTCCGTCGGAATAATCAGGTCGAGGGCGACCGACTGGCTTCTTTGTGAGTCGAGAGGAAAAAAAGAGGAAAAGCGTTTTGGTAATTGCCCTTGCCAACTTCTTTTTTTTGGCCCCAAATGAGATGTGAAACGGCTCGTTTTTCCTCAAAGGACTTTTGCTTCGCTGATCCTCATCTGTCACGGATTTGATTTTCTTCTCCGGTGGGGTGCAAATGGCTTCATCTCGTTCTTGTCAACGACTCTCTCAGACGTTAATGACGTCCTCGAACGGTCGTGACGCTCTCGAACGGTAGTGACGTCCCGGTCGTCGTGGGCGTTTGCGATTACTGTTTTTTGTTTTCGATCTATTTTCGTTCCTTTCCTGTCAACACGTGAGGTTGGGGGGTAAATTTCTCTCCTTTGATGGGGGGATTTCAATTTCGATGCGTGGAGAAAGAAAAACGAGCGGTGATTCTCGCGGGGATTCGGAGGAAATACAGTATTTCCTCGAAATTCATTCGATGGAAATTAGAAGACGCTCGGAAGGCTCGCTGCACTCCATTCGATCCGGAGACGAAATTACCGTAGAATCCAATGTGCGATCGCCCTTTGACTCTGCGGCTCGGGACCGCCGAGGACGCCGGGAAGGATGCTGGGACACAGATGCTGGGATGGATGCTGTCGTTGTAGGTTCTGCTGGACTTGGGGGCATCGACGAATCCGATCATGCGGGGAAGTCGAGGCCAGCTGCTGACCCCGTTGGACGCCGCCCTCATGAGGGGGAACCGGAACTGCGCCAAGTACCTTCAGCTGCACGGGGCTTCTCCGGCGTCGAGGCTCGCCGCGCATCACCTCCAGTTTGTTTCTCGCTCTTTTTTAAATTTACCTATATATATTTCTTTCTTAATTTTGTGTCGTCGAGAAGAGAGCAGGGAATCGAATCGGACGCGAATTTAAATCGAACCGAATTGAAACCGAGAAGCTCGGTAGGCTTTCGAACACGAAGTAGAACCGTGAATGCAAATGCTTAATCGAATCGAGACCTGGGATCTAACCGGAAATCGTTTTCGGTCTTGGGATCTGAACGGGAACAAAAGCAGAAAAACACGATGCGATTTCCGGTTCTTTTTTTCAGTCCGCTTTCCCTTCGAGTAAATGAATGAATCCTGGGAGAGAGAATGACTCTTTGGGAGGATGTCATTTGTCCAAGGGCAAGTGCGCTCATTAAATAAAGGCAATAAAGAGAGCTTCATTAAGCAAAGAAGGACAGCAAGATGGAATTCTAGTGAGGAAGAACCATTTGCATCGTCGTACTTCCACGGAGAAAAAAATTATTTTTTTTTTGGAAGAAGTTAAATTAGTCCAATTTGTAACAGTGAAAGTGGGTTACCTAATGAAGAAATATCGGATTGGAAGAACCGGAACTGAATTGGTATGGTGTGAGGAATGGTGAGCGAGTAACCGGAGCTGAAAAGTCTAGCCAGTAGAACTAGGGCAGAAACGGAGCAATGGTAAGAGTTGAACCTGGACCGAACCGATATTTCTTCGAGTTTCGATTCCCTGGTTAAAAATGATAATAAAATGACCATAAAGGTGAATGCATTTATTGAGACCTGACCCGAATGGACGGTCTGTAGGGGCCTGAGCGATTACCCTCACGCTCGAAGCTTCACGCCGTCCCCGGATGGCACCTTCAACGTCGGAGACGGTCGCCGATCTTCCTCTCTCAGTCACAATAAAGACACTCAAGTGAGTCCGCCCGGGTTCCTTCTTCATTCGTCGTAGGGCTTTTGCGTGGGACGAGGAAAGGCACAACTGCGCCTCTGTGGATTCGTGACGGCCTCTGTCGCGGTCTGGCAGGCATTTAATGTTCTCGACGCGTGCTACCCCTGCATGCTGGCTGCTTCAACTGCGCCGAATGGAAAACTCGATTTGAGAATTCGTGTGTTTAGACGAGATCCCTCTGCGTTCGGTCAATAAATACGAGTGGAGGCAGGAAGGCACTCGAGTTTCTTCTCCTTTGCCATTTAACTTTTATTATTATTTTTTTTTGCCGTTTACTCGATCTAATTTCTTTGCAGCGCTTCCCACGAGTTCAGATAATTATTGCCAGAGCAAATCCTCCAAAAAAGATTCAACAATGACCTCTCCTGTGTCACGTGACGATACTAGACCCAAAATGACCAAGACCAAGACGATGCCAAATTTGATCCCTCGGTTCCCGATGGTTTCCAAGAATTGTTGCACCGTCCGTCCACCGAGAAATACCGCACCCCTCTGGCTCCAGTCCAGAACCATAAGCGTGGAAGAAAAAGACACCAGACGATCGGGACGAGACGTTGGGATCCTTACGGAGGGTGATCGATGGCGGGAGACCCCGTAATGCCCCCCTTGCTCGAATGCAAGCAGTCAGCGGCAGGGGAAATTTTCCACGCTCTCGACTTCGGTCGAGATTAATCGCCTTCTCTTCCTTCGCGTTCGGTACTGCCCCCGATCATTTCTCTCGGGGAAGAAATATGGAGAGGGGTGGGGGTGAATGATCGGGCGCAGAGAATTGATGGAACTGCGAGGACCTAGGAGGCAGAAAGCGAGAAGAGTAAAAAAGATAGGGGATTTCACCGGTCGGACGTGTGTGCTGAACTCGCTCGCGCGTGTCGGTCGGCCGGGGCCGGGAGTGACTTTTACGTCAGAGGTGCATTCCGATGTGCAGGCGATGGTGGAGACGGTGGAGGAGAGTCAGCAGACGGATGGGAACCCCAGAACGAAGAAAGGGAAGGAAGGGGAGAGTGGATTCAACATGGTCGCCAGGGGCGAGCCAGAGGCCGTCGGCGTGGAACACGTCCCCGCTGGTTCGTTCTCTTCCGTCTCGTTTCGGTGCATGCGATCGAATGTTGCGATAGTTATCGTTCTGGTGAGAATAGCTTTTCTCCGGTTCGGGGTGAGATGGATGGACCCAGCGATTTTCCAAGAGGCGAAGGGCAACTCTTGTCGTTCTCTCCCCCCCCCCCCCGTGAGGGACACGAATCGACAGAGCTGGGAAGGAAGATTTTGTGAAAGAACGCTGAGGGAATCCACTTGGGCGGTCTAGCGTGTCGGGTGGGGCCGAAAATCTCTCGTCTCGAGAGATCATTGTCTCCGGAAGCGTATTTCCCTCCGAGCCCTTGTTTGTGTGCAGTCTGCCCCTGAGTCATTAGAATCCGGTTGGGCTGCTCGATTCATTCGCTCGGTCTCTGTTAGTATGGTTTAACTTTAAAAGATGCTTTAACTTTCGAACGTTTACTTGTTCGTGCTTCGATGGTTCAAGAAGGCAAAGCGATTCGACTATGCATTGGAGCTCCTCGAATCAAGGTTTAAAAGTCACGGACCTGATTTTAGCCGACCTGATGTCACTCACGTCGCTTAAATCGGGACTTGCCGCAAATTTTTGCATCAAATTAAAGGCAGCAACAGGATTGAAGAGTGGGTGTTTCGTCCGCTTTTCTTCTCAGTTCACGGTCGTGCACTGGAGGCGGCGCTCCAGGTAAATCTGATCAAATTGGCCCGTTTCTCGTCTCCCATCGTCACGAAATCCGCGAGGCTCGTTTTTCTTCCTTTGAGGAGCTCAAACTGGCTTAATTTCAATTTCGAGGAAACATGCGAGAAAGAGAGAGAAAGAGAAAGAGAGCGAGAGAGAAAGAGCTGAGCTCCCATAACCCCAATTAAAATTAATTTTGACAGCTTCCTTGCTCCAGTAGAATTTAAGAGCCGTTCGTGTGTCACTTGCTAATTTCTTTTGAACTCGTACCTGAAACAAATTTGAAAACCGACGGGAAGAACTCGGTGCGCCCTTAGGGCAGTTGATTCGGGCACGTCTCAGAGATTTTATCGCAGAACGACTTTTTGTGCAAAATGAAAGGGGGACTCGGAAACGGATGTGCCCCGAAGAGTCCTTACTCGAAATAAGGACAAACCCGAAAGCCATTACAATATTTAATGTGGAACATGTATGCATCTTTCCAGTACCTAAATGACCCGAGGCCTGGCTGATTTGGGAAGCCATTAGGGTCAATTCCTTCAGGCGTTGATTGATTGGTAGGAAAATGCGCAGACCATTTGTAGGCATTCTCTCCCAATTGGCCTTATTCACCCAAATCCATTATCTGATCTTCACCGACACGGGAATCCGATTTCGACTGATTCCGGCTCCCTCCCCTCCCCCCATTTTTTTTTCTCTCGCTCTCAATTTTTTTTTTTTTTTTTTTACCTCCTTGCGAAAATCGCGCAGTTAGTCAAGATAGGGCAAGTTCAGACCGAAGGGACTCGAGGAAGAAAGCCGGGGTGATTCGATTCGAAGCCTGGAGACCGACCGTCGTTCCCCCGACAGCGATGAGGAATGATAATAATATTGCCATCGACTGACGAATCGGCGAGTCGTTTCCGTCCTGCTCCGAAGACATTCCCGTTCAGACTCCACGTCGCGAGGGGGGAAGGCTTTATCGCCTTCATGAAGAAGAACGGGGGAGAGCCATAAGGCCTAATGGGACGACGGAAGGGCCCCTTCCACATCTCTCGCCATTTGCCGTCCGGATTCTCCTCGAATAGGGAAAAGTGGGATTGAGAAAGAAATCGACTGCTTCGTTAGAGAATATCTGAAAAACAATGTAGCGGAAAGAAGTTCCATTTGTGTAGGCGGAATCGCTCGCGCGAGTGGAACTTTATTCAAGGACGAAATAAAGGATGAAAGAGACGGGGGCGATGATCATGTGTGACGTTGACGCGTGTGCCTTGGCAGGAGGGAAGGACTCGGGTTTCAGCGAGGTTCTCATGCCCGAGGAAGAGGAGGAAGAGGAGGGGAAGAAGGCGAGGCGGGAGGCGGAGGCGAAGAAGGAGGAGAAGGGGGGAAAGAAGGAGGAGAGAGGGGGGAAGAAGGAGGGGAAGACCAAGGAGAAGATGAAACACAACGGGAATCTGTCATCGAGCCTGGATTCCATGTCTGGCACCGTCATGAAGAATCGAGTTCGAAGGTGAGCTTTCCTCTGCGTTCCAGGAAGATTTTCAGGTGAAATGTTCACGGTCCGCCGACACGTTCGTCAGCTGACACGAGAAATTCGAGCGTCGAGTGACGCACGGCTCGAAATAGTTGGCCGAGTGCCTGAAATCTCGACCGTCCACGAACGGCATCGAGTCGTCAGACGTTTTCCTAGGTGATTTTAAAGAGTGTGCACTCTTTTAAGTGAGGAAGGGTGGAAGAGACGCGGCTGGGCTGCAGCAGGTCGATTGCGAACCTAAAGCTCATGGAAATCCGAAAATCCCACGACATTGACATGATTCTGAGACCGAGGTACAGGAGTCGGCCTTTGTGAAGCCTCTCCCTCAGGATACGCCTCATTTATCGGGGCAAAATCCAAAGAGCCTTTGATCATCATCTCCATCGAAAATCCGAAGAGGGAAATTGAAAGATTGCGAGCTCATACGATGACTCCCACGAAGACAAGTAATCCCCGGCCGTTATGAGCCTCGCCTGCTTTACAGATTCGAACTGGAGCGGAAAATCTTCTCGGAGCTCCTGGAGCTGAAAAGACTACAGATCCGATCCGGGAAAGCCAACGAGAGCCTCGTCGTGAAGAGGATGGTCGACAGGTACAAGCAAGAAGGACTCCTCGGACTCAAGGGATACGACGGCCCGTACACCTTCCGCAGCTTCGAGCGATTTCTGTACGGTACGTTCCCGTTTTTTTTTTTTTTTTCTCTCGCCCATTCCTTCCGACCGCCACGTACCGGGTAGTTCGATCTCGACGGCAGCCATTCCCCTATGTAATACAATAGATTACGCCCGTAGCGAAGTAATGAAATGTATGGCGGAAGAGATAGAATGAGACAGGTCTCAATTATGTTAGGACGTCCCTAGAGATCACCCCCGCACCTTTCTCCGCGCGACAAGTACTGTCGGCTTCTCTTCGCTGTGTTTGCCCTCCGGTAGCCCTTTACCCCGAGCCTTCCCGTGATCCTTTCCCCCGAGCCCTCCTCGCATCGAGCCTGCCGCTGACGGCACTCACTCGTCGAGTGGCTGCTCGGATGGTAAGTGCCTTCGGTTCGTCGGACCGATTTCTTCTCGGGTGGAGAGGGACTCATCTTCAGCTCCTGGTCGAGGAGCTTTGCTTTATTGTTTATTCGAAAGTACAGGATGGACCAAATGCCACGAAGTAATTTTTTTCTTCTTCAAAAAAAGCACAAGGAAAGGAAAAGGGAGGAAAGTTATGGAAAGTTACATTTTAAAAAACTTCTTGATTTAAAATTACACAGGCCGTTAATTAGGGAGATCACGTGGAAGGTCTTTACTGGCAGGTTATTTTTATGTTGAAAAGCTGAGTGATGCTGAAAATTTTGAGTTGTACTTTTAAAATGTCACATCTGGATTGCCTGAAAAAAAAAAATTTTTAATTCGTAAATACCCTCACACATGATGAAGGGAAGCTTGGCCCACGCTGTCTTCATTCTTTTGCAAGGATTGAGGACTTGCAGTTTTTGAAACTCATCAATGAATGTGCAGCCGCGAAACATTTCAAAGCTCTGCATCTAAAGTTAAAAGTTCGCGAAGAACCGTTTTTATGGCGGAAATCAGATTGCATTCGAGAACCTCTGCGATAAGGAAAGGCTGTGAATTGCGGAGGTATAGGGGTATAAGTAGATTCTGTCTGTTTGCTTTGCAGATCAGTTGAAGTTCGTTCAAAATCCCCAGTTCCTCAAATCCATGCCTCCGAAATCAAAGGTGAGTTCAAGGCATTTTCACTCTAATTCTATGGTATTTATGTTATGCGGTACTTGGATAAATATTTTTTTATTTTTCGCGGTCGGCTTCGTCGCTGCCGTTCAGAGTACACAAAAAGCTATTCGATCGCGCGCAGTGATCAGCGAAGAAAAATGTGGAGGAAAGCAGGAGCGAGAAAGAGAAAGGGGGTAGGGGGGGAAAGGGGAAGAGAGAAGTCGGTAACGCTGAGGTATCAGAAGCAGCTGACAGTAGAGAGGGCTCGGAGTCTTGCCAGCGAAATGAGTCGCAGAGTAGCGGTATCTCTCCCTTGAAATGCTCTCTATCGCTTCTATTCGCTCTGTCAGGCGCCGCCGAGGCCTCTTCACCAGGCGCAAGTGGTTCTGACGACCAGCTTAGTCTCTTTTTTTTTGTCGAGGTTCGACTTGGAGAAGGGCTGTGTTGATTTATATTTCAGCCAGGGGTCTGTTACTTTTTTTGCAGTACGGGCAACATTGTCACGCGTGCAGTTTAATTGAATTCCAGAATCCGCACTATTGACGTCATGCGACATTTTCACCCGTTTATAAATGTGAATCGATGGAAACGAAGTCAGCATAAAGGCTGAGATTTGTCGAGAAAAGAAAATCCCTCCCCCTTTCCAAGTATACACACATGAAGATTCCCCGAGGAAGGAATGAGTCAACAGCGAGAGAGAAACCCGGAGGCACTCGCCCTTGCGACTGCTTCTTCCCCTTTCGCGATGGAAGAAATCATTCGCGGACTGAAATGATTTTAGAGCTGCAGTCATCCTGCTTAGCGAAGCCACGATTCTAATTCTCCTTAAATTTCAACGTATTTTCACCCATTCGAAATCATCCTTGACTCCTTTGAGTTGCTCTATCCCGAGGAAGCAGTGCGACCTTTTACAGAGGATGCTAGTATTAGTGATACCATAAATGTGTCCGAAGTCTAATTTGAACAAGAGATACAGCTCCCAAAGGCTCAGTCTCGAAATTTTTTCAGAGCAAGTTGCAGTCTGGCAATCGTGACGCGACATGCCTTGTTAATTCCCGACTGAATATCCCAGACAGGAACTCTTGCCGATACTCAGCGATGTAATTTTTCTTTATGTTAGCGTCATGGAGCGTGGGGTTCGGCGACATTTGCTGCACGGACTAATTCAAGTCCGCAACTGAAAACCCCGAATACGATAGCATTAATTTTGAGCAGAATTTTTTTGTGCAGACATCCTGCTGCAGTGAGTTTTTTTTTTTGCGTGTAGATCCTTTGCATGCATTATTCGGAATTTGAAGTACGAAGAGGCATATTATTACTGAATGATGCAAAAATGGATGTCGGAATGGACAGTGTCATAAGATGACATAACTATACAGAAGCACTGTTGGTGGCACAGACGTACAGTAACGTATACGAGGCATATATAAAGAAGTGAAACTGTGTGCCTCGTCAGTTCATGTCCCATTCTTCCACTTTCATTTAAGTTTGGAGGGGAAAATCCTCATCCTGATCCCTGTTCACATTGACCGTCACACTTGAAAAGAATTTCCCACGTGTCACGCGGGTGAGACAGTCAGTGCGAGCTAGCATCTGGCTGACATTGAGCAAGAGGCATAAAAGGGAGACATGTAAAGAAGGTATACAAGCGAGGCCTGGAAAGAAGGCATACAAGGAAAGCAATGGAAAGGAGACAGACAGGAGTCGGGAGAGCAGTTTCTTGTTTCCCCATCACCTGTCTGGAATGATGGTGGCAGGTTGGAATTGCCATAACCGCTGTGACGAGCTGTTTCGCATATATTTTTCTTATTCTATGACAGAACGTCATCATCGGGGTTTATTTCCGGCGTCGGCTCTTTTTCTTTGGAAACGTCATTAATTTTGTTTTCCTCCAAGAACTATTTTTCTGAAGCTGCAATTCGTTTCCTGATGGCACGTTCATTTAAATATTCAATCGGACATTTCGAGTCGGTTTTATTTCACCCTGGGATATTCTGTTAGCGACCGTGACTACGAGGCAATCGTGGTAGCAGAAATGTTACCGGCTGCTTATAAAGCAACCCGAAGATGAAGGTCAATAACTCAACTCATTGCCAAACAAAAGCGACACTAATAAGGAGTTGAGCGATCTGGATGAAATTTCATGGATCGGAGTTTCAAGGTCAAAGGTTGAATCTTCACAGAGAACACTTGCCGAACTCTCCAATATGGGAAGGTGGTCGTTTTAATTGCTCAGAGCGATCGACGCGAAGGAGTTTACTAATGAAAAGTGGCTTGGAAACTTTTGATGAGGAAGAAACCTGAAGAAAGTCTAAGACCATAGGATGAGATGAGGCAGAGAAAACATGCAGAACGCCTGAGGGATAAAAGGGAGGGGCGTGTTTGGCGTCAAACTGTGAAGTCATGCCTAAGCAAAGTCTCAGAAGGGTTTCACCTATTTGTTCGAGTGGTTCAAGGGCGCAGTCTGTGGTGAATGCATCGGCTTCATGAATAAGCTTGATAAGCATCCCAATTGCAGAATTTTACGTGGATAAAATGCTCGAAGGTGGAATTGCCTTCTGAGACTTCATTTCAGCACGGCTGTACAGTCCGCCAGTCGACAATCGCCCCCACGGCGAAGGGCCTTGAGTGAATATTGGGAAATAGGGGTTACCGGTTCTTCCTCAATTCCTCAGGGGTTCGGCAAGTTTACTCTGTATTGCTTTGTATTATGATTTAGAAACTTTCCTCGGTTTTCCAACAAATCATTATGAGTTCCCTTTCCCAATTTCATTAAGAACTTCTGATGTTCGTTACGACCCCCCTTTATATTGAAGTGTTTATCAAGTTTTCTCTTTTATACCCCGGAGGCTCTACAGATTTCACGACAAGCTGTAAGGAGCTTATGTACCAAATTTCTGGAAGACGGCTCGGTGCTGCTTGTTTTTTCAGCGGTGAATATATTTCTCCTAGGGTCTTAATTTTTTGCTATTGCAATAGTCTCCGTGAATTTCGCCTCAATCTGTGAAATTTCATTTTTGGCATGGAAATCTTATAAGGCCTGTGTTGAAATTCCTTTCTCAATTTTTTTTTCGACATTTTTTGCTTTCCTGTGCGATTAGTGACGTTCCTACTACGGAGCCCGGTATCTATATAAAAAGTAGGCATTTCCTCATATACTCCTTCCTTATTTGTTTCGTCGATTCTCGTGGGATATCGGACGATTCCAGTCCCTACGGGAGCATGCAGAGTGCATCGCCTCTGAGTCGATCCATCAGCGACGTCCCTTTGCCTCGACCGCTTCGCATGAGGTCGGACCACCGGTCGCGATTTCCACAACAAACGATCCGCCCGGTCGACTGACTTCGGTCCCCGAGACTCGTAACTGTGGGTTTTTTTGTGGGGCGCGGGGAAGCATGAAACTTGTGATGACCTGAGAGGCAAGTTTCGCAGACGGACTGGAGATGGCAATTGGAAAGGATGACCGTTTGGGCGTTTAAGGGAAGATAATCCATCACCTCGGCGTGAACGGTAGCTCAGATTTTCGTTTCTTCTAACCCCTTCCGATCGACTCGATTCTTCATTCGTGAATCGTAAGGGACTATGTGTCTAATGAAACACACAAAGTCCGAAAATTATTTCAAAACGGAATTATCACGAAATTAGACAAGACTCATGGGGACGAATTATACTGTCTCTTTGAAAAAAATACCCAAATGTCATGGCTCGAGGAGAAATAGTTTCTAAATAATTGACCGGTAATATCTTCGGCTTTCTTTAACCCTATATGACCCAAATTAATTTCTGGAATGGAACAATTTTTTTCTGCTGAAATTCTTTGGAAGTAAGTGTAAAGAATACTTCTCATTCTTATTTTACTTCTTAAGGTATGCACACACTGCATGGGCGTCCGCTGGTTCTTCCCCGGAGGGGGAGGGGGGGGGGTCAAGGCACAAGAGTGGCAGAGCAGATGCACACACATGGGTGATTGTATCATGTAAAACGATGAAAAAGTACAAGATTATTGCACTGATTAGCTGAAGGTACAGCACGATACAGATAATTATACCAATGATAACAAGTATTTATTAACATTCAGTATAGCAACCTAAAGAGTATACAGTACGTTTCAGTATAGAGTGCCTTGGTAGGGCACGATTAAATCACAATATTTATAAGAGAAAAGCAAGTGCTTCTCAAATTTGGTAGGAGTAATAATTTGCAGTCCTATGTCTATGCACATTAAAATCACAATCTTACAATTAAGTAAATATGAGGGAACAATGATCACCAGTCATAGATGTTGGCACATTAAAATCGCATTCTGTTGCGAATGTGAATGTGAATGAAGTAAACCAGTGCACTTGATATTTGGGTCGTGTTTGAATGGTGAACTACAAGTCAATATCACAAAATAGTGTGCCCTGAGTTGAGGAATCTTACTTGGGCCTCAAAGTACCCCTTACCCGTAGACCTATTATACAGTACAACTCATGTCAGACAATGAGACAGCCCAGCAAACAATTTGAAACACAAAACGTTGAACCAAGGTTAAATCAACATTGAATCAACGTTCGTAACGTTGGTCCAACGTAGCTCTGTTTGCTGGGAGGGTCTTCTACTCCTTAAAGAGGAACAGCCGGCGCCTCGATTATAAAAATAAGAAATGTAACTGCAAAAAATTAACCCCAAGCTTCTAACTACGCCATAGGGGTGCCTTCTTTAAAGCTTTTATTTATTTATTTTTTTTGCAAACTGGACAAAAATAAGTACCAAGGTGCAGACATAGGCTCACTCAACTAGCGCAGGCCTACCGTAGGCCTAGTGCGAACGACCTACAATGAAAACACGAAATAGTCATTCAACTTGGGATATTTGCATTCCATATTGTACGATAACTTAGCACTACGAAAGTACTGTACGGCGAAAGAGGAAACTTGATTTTTCATGTATTCTTACACTCACACCATGGACTCGCCTTGCCATAGCGACGTACGCGATGTCATGTAGAGCAGTAACGTTACCGGAGCCTCTGGATCAGATGGGTTTAGTTGAATTTTAACTCGTTAAGTCTAGTAGCGTCATCTTTTGGTAGAAAGAATAAATATACTTTGCTTGATAATATTGGAAACGATATTTAATATTGCGCGGCAAGTTTGGTCTAAATGGTGCTACGGAAGAGGAGATTTCCACATTGAGTGCATTAAATTTATTTTAGAACTACCAGTAAATTGTCATGCCCGATTTCCATGAGAGGCAAGCGTCCCCCCTTGCCCCTTAGAGCGGACGCCCATGTAAATAACATTGTCATGCAGTGGCAGTTTCTGCCATATAGGCTTTAGCCTTAGTATTAGGAAGTTATGGACCATTGTCACATGAAAGTAACACCTTTTTTGCGTAAAAAGGTTTATCGTTCAGGTATCCAATGCATAATCAACTTTCTATGAAATGAGGAACGTTAAAGCGTTTTTGTATTATGAAAATGTAGCGACGAAACACCAGAGTAGAAGTGACATTTTTGGCATTAACAACCTCATTCAATCATCCAGCACGCACTGACGATATAAAGGGTATCTGGTGGCGTTTAACGGAAACCGAAGAGCAGAAGAATGGCAGATTGCGTCTATGGGCTGTCGCTTTCACCTCACAGTGGGCTATTACGACGCAGCTATGAAATGTTCCGAGCGAATCATTTACAATGCGACTGTTCCTTCGAAGACACATTGGTATAGAGAGGGTTAAACGCACCTTGTTCTTGCTGGCGTACGAGAGGCTACATATCTCAATAAAACTGCTTATAAAAGAAATTCCATGCGATCATGGCGAAACTATGCGCACCAAACAGAGTATGGGATCGAATGTCAACATCATATTGTTGTTTTTGTCCCAAGGAAGGATATTAGAAAACCCCAGCCTTTCTGGGGGGCGATCGATACCTTCCTTCTTAGAAACGCCTCTTATAATATGGCGTGATACGGTTCCTTTGTCTACCCTGACGTACCCGCCCTCGCATACGAATGCTCCGATTATGTTGGTGCTATGCAGTTTATGACTGGCTGGAGAGAGCCCTGCACGGGTCCAAGTTTCTTCATTAGATTCTGTATGATCCTGTTTATATGCATTGAGAATATGAGGCGAAATTTGTTGGTGTATATTTTGATGCGTCCCGCGATTCGCTCCCTCTGTAAAGGAAGGCTATATGTGGATTCCCTTTGATAACTTCTTTCCTTTGAGGGATTGGTATGGGACAGCTGCAAAAAAATTTGCAGCGCGACGGGAGAGAATAGTTTTCCGAGGATTCCCAAAGATTTTACTTCTTTTGGTGACTCGCTTCGTTTGCATTCGGCTGCAGATCGACGTCCACGGATGAATCTTGTTTTTATTTACTTTTTCATGCGAGACAAATCTCCAGCTTCATCCTCGACTTCAGGGCACGTTTAAGAGTCATTTCCCCTTCGCACAGATACCCCAGCGAGTGAAGGGCGAGGGAGACGGCGAAGGGAATCGGTCTGACGTGCGAGACCTGGATGAACGCGTGGCCGTGACGACGAACCCCACGATGGCGACCAACTGCACCCACCGCACCCACTCCTGCCACCACACGGCCCACGCCTACACCGGCATCCCCTGTGCCGCCTACAGTGAGTGTCTTGGGGTATCGACAGGCACGAAGCCTGTCGCGGATGGGAGGAAGAAGTGGGGTAGGGGGGCAGGGGGATTCATCACTCGAGGTGTCAAGCGAGGACAAAAAAAGAACCACCGGATTTCTGGCGCGTGTTGGGAAGCCTCTTTATTGAATTGAACGTGTTCCATCCACTGATAGAAAACGACATTAAACTAATCAATCTCATGAGCCATTTCTGTTTCGTCTGTCTCGTTATCTGGAAGCACTTCTGCTCCTCGTCTAAGGTATGGATGATGTGGAAAAGTGGTCGATTTTCTCGACGGAGGGAAATCCCTGAGATTTTTTCGAATTGAATGTCTGAAACTTCTTATGATGAAAATTGAGCCGTTTTCGTGAAATACCAAGATTGCAGTATTAAGTACTGTCGATACACGGACGATTTTTCTCGCTCGACAGTCATTCTGATCCGTCGCATCGTTTCTTAGCTCAATACTACTGATTAAACTAATGATTAATGACCGATGCCAAGCATTTATTGCACCCTGGATAGAACCGAGAAAGAACGAGACAATATTCAGAACATTCAGGTCACGCGGCATCTAAAAAGGGAATCCGAGCTTGTTTAGGTCAGCCTTGCCATCGAGTCGGGATGTCGTTATCACGTTTCACGACGACTATTTACTCCCGCCGACTTTGCATTCCAGTCACGAAGCCGAATCACCATCATTACCTGAAAGGGACGCAGAATTTCCTTCCTCGCATCCCGAACGGAGGGAAGAAGGATACGAAGGCGAAGGAAGGCCTGGGAAAGGAAGGCCAGGGAAAAGAAGGCCAGAGGAAAGAAGGCCAAGGGAAGGAAGGCCAGGGGCAGGCACCGCTGGGCTCGGTCAGCAACTACGACCCGACGGAGCCGCTGACGGTGGAGCTGAACCACGGAGGTCAGAGGCAGCTCATCGAGTTCCCGGCGCACACGCTGGATAAGAGAAAACGGTACCATGTCACGTTCACTATCAAACCTTCCACACCGGATGCGGGGCTGCTCAAGCCGGCTGTCAATTCCGTTCCGAGGCAGGTCAATAGCCTCTGAGGCTTACAAACATGTGGCAAATTTCTTTTCACCATCAATACATATGCGTTTAGAAGGGTCAATAAAGTTTTCTTTCCTCTCTTTTATTCTAGAGATGTTCTTCCTCAACTTAATTGAAATCGTCCCCCCTCTCCACTCACACACACACACATTTCTTTTTCAATCAATATCAAGAAGTAGGCTCAGGTTTGGATGAGATAGCGTTATTGAAGACTCTCATCGGCGAGGAGGGTGGGGGGCAGATTGCTTCCGCGAATAATCGAAAATTCTCTTTTATTTCTCTCTAGCTCCCGTCTCAGCATTCCGGGAATCCGACCCTCATAACTTTCTGAGAATAAAACCTTCTCTGAAAAGAAGAAAACTGAATAATGTAGTACTCCCGCACTCTCAAGCTACCAGGATGGAATGGAAGTACAGGGAATAAAAGCTGAGTGCGTAAAAGCTTCAAGGGTTGGATTTCATTTTCCCCTTTATCACCTCCAGTCGCACACTCTTGAGTTCCCTTGTTTGTTCGCTTTTTATCCGGCATAAGAGCGTCGGGCGAGCAAGCGCTCTATCGCGCGGGAGAGAACGTTCAGTCATGTGACTGGAAGGGGGGAGAGGGAAAAAGGGGAAAAATGGGGGAGGAGGGGGAAGGGTAATTACATTTTTTGTCTCCCCCTTCTTCCCCCTTCCTCCCTCCTCCCGGGGCACTGGGGCCTAGTCGTGCCTATGCAAGGCGTGCCTCTTCTAATACCCTTTAGCTCCTGACTACATCTACTTTGCATTCATGACGGCATTCTCACGAATTGGGAAGCCCTGAGAGGCGTAATTGAAGATATAAGGAATATCTGCAGGAGCTGAAAAAGAGAGGAAAGGCATGAGGATCGAAAGGGCGAAAGGGGTAGAGGGGCAACCAGGACGTGAGTGCCTTTCTCCCGACACTCCATCGAAGAAATCGAGCAGAGATAAATAAAAAAACGACGGGAGAAAAAAAGAAAATCCTGGGACGGAGACGGGAAGGAAGATGAGGATGCATGGAGAGGAAGTGTCTCTATTGCCCCATTGTGGTGGGGCATGGACTGTTGCCAGATTGAGGAGTCTCCTCCTTCCCACACATAAATCATCCCTGTCTCTTCGATCCCGATTCGTCCTGCTTGGTATTCTTCGGTTCTCTCGCACAACTGCATTAGTTTCATTCTCGTTCCTTCGCTCATCAAAGATTTACTTCGATTTCCAATCGAAAATCTCGCGTCTGTCACGTCCCAGTTCCACGAATTACGGCTTCAAAATTTAATGAAAGCGTCTCCCCGCAATTTCACTGTACTCGAGGCAGACTATGAGCTGAAATTCGAATGAGAGTTCCCTCAATATCCGACTGAAATACTTGGCCACGAAGATGGATGAAGAGTGCTGAATAATCAAATGGATTCATGAAATGATAATGACCGCAATTTATTGCTTCCACTTCCAGATCTGCATAATGAATTGATTCTGCTGATTTATCGCGTGATTTGTCAGCTGCTCTTTGAATATCTGCAACGTTTCTCCCTAGGAATCTGCTCAGGTGGACATATCGAGTCCGAGATCGGCATTAACTAATTTAATTGAACATCTTAATCCACCGGGTTTTGCCAATTTTTTCTAAGACCCTTTTTGCATTGTATGCCGTTGCAAGAACAGAGCAGAAAGATGATTAGCCCTTCTTGTATTGCAGCCATCAATTTTATTTAAACGAGAAGCATTGGAGAAGAATTAATGCTGCATATACTAGTATATTATCCGATGCGACAGACATTCGTCTGGAAGTCGATCATTAAGCGAGATGAAAGATATCTTCCACTAATTTTTTTTCTGTCACTGGTGTCAATTAATAATTCGAGTCGGGTGATTCATCGACCATCTTTTGGCCCGAAACACTTAATCAGATGACCTCCTTCCGGATAATCGGCACATCTCGCCTCGACCTAAAAGAGACGAATCCGCTCTTCGATTCGCGCTCGAACGACCGCAGGAACGTGGAGGCCTCCTCCACCGCGAGAGACATCTGGCGGCGACATCGGAAAGTCTCGAGCCCCAACATGCAGAGCAAGCGAGGGACTCTTCGCCTGCAAGACGCCAGGGCGCCTGGTCTCTATTGCCTGATGCACGGTGCGTCCCAGGAATGGCGTGCCGATGACGCACGCAGCTCGTGTAAATGCCACCCGTCCACGGCACGGCAATGTTTCAGCCATTAGACCCACTCAATTTGCACTCCACGGAGGGAGTCGGCATTCGGAGGGGTTGGACGCGACCCAAGCAAAAGACTCCTTCAGAATGCTTCAGAAGAAATTCAATCGAGGTATTCCTTCGAATTTCTACAAGTTTTATAAAAAAATAAAAAAAAAGAATTCCTTTGAATTCTTTTTTTTTTGCACAGAATTCTAAGGAATCCTCTGAAGCAGCGGTTCTCGACCTTTCGGTTCTTTCTTTGCAAAGGGCACCCTTGCACATCGATGCTCGATGAGCCCAACCTTGATCTCTGAATTCATTCATGACAGTTTCATTTTGAAACGTCATACGACGAAACCATCGTTGCCAGAGCATTCAATATCTCAAATTTGTTTGCTCAGAAAATGAAGATGCGGCTCGAAATGTGAACTTCGCTCGTGATGCTTAGACGGGACCCGAACTTGTTTTTCTTTTTTTTTTTTTAAATACGAGAAGGTAGACGTACGTATCTGGTATCGAAAAGCAATCTGGAACTTTATCGCAGCAACAATATTGATCTAGACATTCGTCCTCTTTTGATGAAAGCTATTTCTGGAAGTACGCAATATGAGTTTATCTATGGGTTTCCTACCCGCTCCGCAGAACGCATCGAATTCTTCGGCATTCTAGACTTTTCAGGCCTTGCACTAGTACTTCTGCTACTACTTGCACTAGTACTTTTAACCGACAGGCCGGACGAAAAATCTCCGGGCACCCAAGTCGGGAACTCTCGACAGACGATACAGAGAAATAACTACGAGCTGGAGGGATTTCGTGGAGTTCTTACTTCTATGTTCTTTAGAACCGTATAACCAGATTGACGGTTGTCCTGGAAAGCTGGGAGAAGGTCTGAATAATGATTTCATGTAAGTTCGATAGAGGGAAAAGTGAGAACATCTACAAGCCTTCAGGGAAACAACCTGTATAATTCCACTCATTTCTATAGCGATGAGGGGAGTTTTTTGGAGTCGCTCTCGGCGTTGCAAGGAAGCGATGTTCCCTCCGTTTATCATCGTCTCGTCGTCTTCCGTCTCGTCGTCGGAATGATTCGGCGTCTCGATCTTAGCATCTCTCTTCGGTTTCTCTTTGGTTTTTGCTCTCTCGGTGTGCTGGAAGTCGTCATAACGGGAACACGAAGCCGATGAAAAATTGATGCGACAGAAAGCCATTACGGCTGGATTTATGCGCTTTTCTTCCATCGAAAATAAAAGAATTCCTCACGATGCTCGGAATTTTAATGCAGGTGGAATTCGGCAAAACGGGCCGAAAACGGGCCGCCGCACGCCGATACCGCAGGACCGATATCGTGCGACGCATTTTATTCCCCCAGGAATTTTCCTCCCGGAGTGGATTGACGTCAGGCCGGTCGCTCGGGTGCTCGATCACCGAGCGATGAGACGCTACCGCTTTTTTTTTGTTGGCACTCGATTGACACCGCTCGCCAAGACTCTAACCCTTCGAGTCTGGATCGATATCACTAAAACGAATGGAATGCGTCGCAGGAGGAAGAGAATATTGGTGCGAGGAGGAGATTGGAACCGGGAGGGGACACTCTCGAGGCAGGCGTCCGACCGTCCGACCGTCCGACCGTCCGACCGTCCGACCGTCCGACCATCCGAACGGTCCCTTTCGCCACCTGATTCTTGTCAGCGCGTGCCGTCTTCCATTCTCGCTTCGATGCTATCTCTGGATTTATCGTTTGGCGTTTTGGAGCTCGAGTCTTGCCCAGATTCCGTCTTGGAGCTGTGTCGACTCCTAAAAATCGTCTACTGGGTTCTACCCGATTTCATAGACTTTTTTTTTTTTTAGAGGTAAACCCCATTTAAAAAATACTCAAGCACGATTTTGGGGATGAATACTTCCGAACAAACGCTTTGGGAATGAACACTTTTAAGCTCAAACTGTCTCGGTTACGCTATTAAACTTACCACTTCGTTACATTTCAGCTCTCACTTCTTTTTGTATTGTGTTTCTCTCGAACATCCATCCGCTCATCCATCCTCTCACCCATCCCCTCACCCATCCACTCATCCATCCACTCATGCATCCACTCATGCATCCGCTCATCCATCCGCTCATCCATCCTCTCACCCATCCCCTCACCCATCCACTCATCCATCCACTCATGCATCCACTCATGCATCCACTCATCCATCCACTCATCCATCCACTCATCCATCCAAAGCCGTGAAGGAAACTTGACATGTAGCAGCGTGTTTTGGAAAATTCCACGAGGAAAGTGAAGTGTCCTCGTTGGCAGATCTAGGACGAAGGATCGGAGAGAAGCGAGAGGGCCCGACTCTTTATGGAGACTCCCATCGAGTCAATATTGGCAGGAGGGAATTTTTCCCGTCGATCTGCGGGAAGGATTCCCGATGCAGATGGAGCGTGAGCAGGAATTTCTCCGCTTTCTTCTCCGTGCTTGTCTTCCCACGAGTCTCGTCCCGAAACTTTCGGTTCGGGTTTTCTTCGTTTTCGAAACGGCTCTTTCTTCATTTTTCTCTCTCTCTTCTTCGCCTTTCACTCTGAACGCAGAGTCATCTCGGAAGAGAATTGGACAGGATGATAAAGGGAAGACGGAAGTCTTGCCAAGAACACCGTCAACTTTTTTTTTTTCTATTAAACCGGAACCGAGCGGCGAAAAGGAATTTTCGCCATTTTGGCGGAAAGGAGTGAGAAAAGAAACATTTCCACCCCGGCCGATCCGGGACTCGAGTTCATTTTCTTGCTTTTTTGCAGAGAACTCCGTCCGAGTGATCGAGAGGAGAAAATTCTTCGCTCCTCGATTCTCGCAAGTGATACTACACAAATAAAACGGGGATATAAATAGATGCTAGATGGAATCGTCTCGGATGGA